CGGGATTCAAACCTGTGAACCCTGGGCCGCGAAAGCGGAGCGTGCGAACCTAACCACTACACCACTGGGCCAGCCCCAGTCCTTCCCATATTTTGATTTTTATTTTGTCTTTTTTTTTGGCACAAAGGAACAGATACATGTATATTTTCTTATTTTATCTTTTATGAAAGATGGCTATATAGTAAAGAAATTAACCTTGCCCGAAAAGAAAGCCTTTATCCTTGGCTTCTGGGAGATAATCTCTAAGCCCTTGGCATGTCATGCCTGATTGGAGTGGCTTTATTTGCCTGGGGCCTTGGGTCACAGGTAGTCTATGATTTAGGATGGGAGTTGGCTATCCAGAAGACCAATAGCGTGATTTAGGGTGATGACTTTGGTATCAGTGGATCTCCAGAGGGGCTGAAGACTGAGTTCAGTCATGTGGGCAATCAGTTATGCCTACGAACCGCAATAAAAACTGGACATCAAGGCTCAGGTGAGCTTCCCTGGCTGGCAATACTCTGTGCATGTTGTCACACATTGATGCCGGGAAAGTGACGCTGTCCTGGCTCCATGGGAAGAGGACAGCTGGAAGCTCTGCATTTGTTACTTCTCCTGGACCCTGCCGTATGTGCTTCTTCACTTGGCTTATTTTAATCCATATTCTTTAGCTGTAATAAACCATAACTATGAATATAACGGTTTTCAGTGAGTTCTGTGAGTCCTTCTGGCAACTTATCAAACCTGAGGGTGGCTTTGGGAACTCCTCGAACTTGCAGTTAGTGTCAGAAGTGAGGAAGATCTTGTGTGGACTCTTCTCTCTAACTTTACACTTGGCTAAACTATGCAGTGGCATTTTGTTGATTCATTTCAACTTTGCTTTTTTCACTCAACCTGGAAATCGCTCTATGTTAGTTCATAGAGCTCATCTGTATTCTTTTATAGCTTCATTCATTGTATGGATGAACCACAGTTTCTTCAACCACTATCTTATGTATTTAGGTTGTTTCCAGTATTTTGCGATTACAAACAGTGCTGGAATGAATAACCTTGGACTCTGTATTTTCATTACTAGTGAAGGTGTTTTCTTCAGAGTAAGTTCTTAAAAGTGGAATTGCTGGATTCAATGGTAAATACTTCCGTGGTTTCGTTAGATATTACCAAATTCCCCTCCAAAAGGATTTTAGCAGTTTGTATTCCTACCAGCCAAGTATGAAAGCTCCTTTTCTCCCACCAACAGAATGTGGTGTCATAATTTTTGCCAATTTTTTTTATTGAGGTATAATTGACATATAACATTATACTAGTTTCAGGTGTACAACATAATGATTTAATATTTGTAGACATTGCGAAATGATCACCACAATAAGTTATCATCCATCACCATACATAGTTAAAAAAATTTTTTTTCTTGTGATGAGAACTTTTAAGATTTACTTTCTTAGCAATTTTCAAATATGCGATACAGTGTTTTTTTGTTTTTTTGTTTTTTGTGAGGAAGATCAGCCCTGAGCTAACATCCATGCCAATCCCCCTCTTTTTTTTTTGCTGAGGAAGACCGGCTCTGAGCTAACATCTATTACCAATCCTCCTCCTTTTTTTTCCCCAAAGCCCCAGTAGATAGTTATATGTCATAGTTGCACATCCTTCTAGTTGCTGTATGTAGGACACAGCCTCAGCATGACCAGAGAAGCGGTGTGTCGGTGCGCGCCCGGAATCCGAACCCGGGCCATCAGCAGCGGAGTGCGTGCACTTAACCGCTAAGCCACGGGGCCAGCCCCGCGATACAGTATTATTAACTATAGTCGCCATGCTGTACATTACATTCCCGTGACTTATTTATTTTATAAGTGGAAGTTTGTACCTTTTGACCTCCCTTACCCATTTTGCTGACCCCCTCCCCCATTTGCCAATTTTTTTTATGAGTGAAGTTGAACATCTTTTCTTATGTTTAATAATTTTTTTTCCCCCCCAAAGCCCCAGCAGATAGTTGTATGTCATAGCTGCAAATCCTTCTAGTTGCTGTATGTGGGACGTGGCCTCAGCATGGCCAGAGAAGCGGTGCGTCAGTGCACGCCCGGGATCTGAACCCGGGCCGCCAGCAGCAGAGCGCGCGCACTTAACCGCTAAGCCATGGGGCCGGCCCTCTTTTCTTATGTTTAAAAGCCATTTAAAAATCTTGTGAGTTTTCTCCTTATGTCTTTTTTTTATTTTTCCATCAGGCTTTTTGTTCTTTATCCCTCAACTTAAGAGTTCTTTATATCAGAGATATTAGCCCTTTACTTTCTATTGAGTTTTTCATTTCTGCTATTAGTTTTAATTTCCAAGGCTCCTTTATTGGTTTTGATTGTTCCTTTTTTTAAAAAAATAACATCCTGTTCTTTTCTTCCCAGTGGATGTAATATTTTCGTTTACTTCTTTGAGAGTAGTGTTAGTTTTCTTTCCTTCTCTCTTTTTTTTTTTATTGTGGTAAAATATACATAACATAAAATTTACCATTTTAATCATTTTTAGATGTACAGTTCATTGGCATTAAATACATTCACATTGTGGTGCAACCATCACCACCACCCATCTCCAGAACCTTTTTCATCTTCCTAAACTGAAACTGTACCCATTAAACAATAATTCCTCTTCCCTCCCCCACTTAGTCTTTTAAAGTTGACTTCTCTATAAAATTTTGCTTTTATTTGTTTGTTTTGGTCTGTTTTTCCTCCCTAGAAGTCTGGTGATTCTTGATTATCCCATCATTTTAAAGAATGACCACTAAGAAGTTGCTTAGAAATTCTGAGCATGTGGTGGGACTTGTCAACTTTGGAGTGTACTGTGTGATGCTGGGCCATTTGAGAGTGGAGGGGGAATCTGTATTTATGTATTTTTGTGTGGACTAATCAGATTCTCCAGAGAAGATTCTTCCAATCTACCTCTTGGATGGATAAGACAGACTACTAGGGTTCTGGGAGGTGAGTGGGCAGGTGTTGGGGTTCTTGTATTCAATAGATAATTCCATCTTTAAACTGTACCTAGGATCCCCCTGTCTGCAGAGCTTCCATTTGGGAGGGGAGGGGCAATTACCTGCTATGTGGAGTTGGGGAGGGATTTGTGGTCTCATTGCTTCTTGAACTTTGGGGTACACTGTAGAGTAATTGTTCAGGCCTGTTTAGTTGAGGCATCCTTGGATATCAGTATCTGTTAGTCTTTTCTCTTTGAATTATCCATTCCCACTGGGATTGATCGCCACCTTTCTGGGAGCTGACTGGGAAAAGAGGTTAGGGAAGGAATTCACTATATAAACTCATTTACCCTCCTTTTGTACCCTTGCCCTCATTTGTGCATGATATGCCTAACTATCCTCGTTCATCCTCCCCAGACAGTGAAACTGGTTATCTGACAAGGTAGAAGAAGGGGTCTTGGGATCTGACTGCTTCTTTTCACACCTTCAACCAGTCCTTCCTTTTTCAGCTCCCCTTGTACCCTGACCCTCACAGATATTGTTGCTTCCAATTCCTGAGCCTTTCTAAGGTCCTGTAGCTTGCTTCTTGGCTTCCCCTACTGCTGGCTTAGACTTAGCTCTTTTCGCCTCCTAAGTCTCTTATCACTCATTCATCCGCTTTCCTCTTTGAAAAATTTTATTGCTCTTTTCTCCTTTTTCATTATCTTTGTCCTTGAGAGTTTTTGCTTTTTTTAAAACCTCATTTCTGTCATCTTAATGGGATTTCAACAAGGAACGTGTTCGGTCCTCTTTTTGTTTCTCAGAGAAAACTGCACAGAAAGTTAATACAACTTTTCTTAGTGAGTTATTAGCAAGCTGAAATTAGAATATTGTATTTCTGATTCGTAGTGTAGTATTTCTTCTACTCCACCTGCAGTGACTGGTGCCTTTCTGTCTAGGCTAAAGAGCCTTCAGTAATATTAGATCTTATTAAATCTGAGGGAAAATCATGTTTGGTTTTAACTATCATTTTCATCTACCATATCCCATAAGTGTGTTCCTGAAGTTCATGTGTGTGTTTGTGTTTGTGTTGGTTCTTTTTTCTTATATTCACTTGAGAGCCAAAACCATAACTGAGTGAGAGCACCTGATAGAGTCCTGTCCCCACATAGTCACTCAGAAAGTCTTTGACTGACTGACAAAGAGGAGGCTGGTCTCCCTCTTGAAATACTGATATTGCTTGCATTTATTGAATATCTGCCTTTGGATGACTGTACATAGGAAAAGTACCTACACTTCCTTTCTAAAATTTGCTGTATGAAAAAACTGTTGTGATACAGAATCAGTGTAGAATGGTGTCTGGTCTCCACTCCTTCTCCATCCTTCATTTTACAAATGAGAACACGGAATTTGGGTGACTTGCTTAAAGTCACTTAGCTAATGAGAAGGAGGGCCAACACTTAGAAGTTCTCTTTTGACTCCCTGCCCTGTGTACTCCATCAGAAACTGACTGCGTATTGGGAAATGATTCTTTTTTTTCTTTTTTTACTTTTTAATTTTTTTGTGTGTGTGTGAGGAAGATCGGCCCTGAGCTAACATCTGCCCATCCTCCTCTTTTTGCTGAGGAAGACTGGCCCTGGGCTAACATCCATGTCCATCTTCCTCCACTTTATATGGGATGCCACCACAGCATAGCTTGACAAGCGGTGCGTCGGTGCACGCCCAGGACCGGGATCCGAACCGGCGAACCCAGGCCGCCGCAGCAGAACGCAGCACTTAACCGCTTGCGCCACGGGGCCAGACCCTGGGAAATGATTCTTGAAATTTATTTCTGTGAGAGGCAGGTACAGCAAATGGGGTCATGCTAGTAAGTCACTCTAACATGACTTCCCTTATGTCTTCCCTCCTTTCAGTTTTCATTGTGGGGAAAATCTTGATCAAGTTGGATTTTATTTTGTCTGATAGTCTAAGTTGAACTTCATATTGTCTCTTTTTTCAATTTTCTAACTTATATTGCTGTGAATATATCTTTATGACCTTATTTTTAGGGTAGCAATGTAACTTTTCTTTCTCTTCTTTACAGCTGCATCCAGATCTCATTATGCATCAGAAAAATGAAAAAACAGAGGAAAATTCTATGGAGGAAAGGAATCCACTTAGCCTTTTCTGAGAAATGGAACACTGGGTTCGGAGGCTTTAAGAAGTTCTACTTTCACCAACACTTGTGCATTCTGAAAGCCAAGTTGGGAAGGCCAGTTACTTGGAGCAGGCAGTTGAGGCATTTCCAGTGCAGAAAGAAGGCCCTTCAAATCCAGAAAACGTGGATCCAGGATGAACCCCTTTTTGCTAAGACAAACTCCAATGTGGCTGCTCACAATGTTAGTACTTTGTCCTCTAAAGTGAAAAGAAAGGACACTAAACACTTCATTTCCTCTTCAAGGACCCTCCTGAAACTCCAAGCAGAGAAGTTGCTGTCATCAGCAGAGAATTGTGACCATGAATACTGTGGAGAGAAGAGTTTCTTGAAGGCAGTTGCTGACTTACCAGCAAATAGTATTTTAGGTCAGGCCAATGGTCACAGACCTAGGACAGAGCCACAAGCTTCTGACTTTCCCATGAAGTTCAATGGGGAGAGCCAAAGTCCAGGTGAGAGTGGCACGATTGTGGTCACCTTGAACAACCATAAGAGAAAGCGTTTTTGTTATGGCTGCTACCAAGGGCTGGAGCAACACAGGAGTGGGGGACCCTTGATTCCAAAAAAGTTCCAACTTAGCCAACATAGAAGAGTAAAAGTATCTCCTCTTATGATGTATGAGAAATTATCCATGATTAGATTTCGGTACAGGATTCTCAGATCACAGCACTTCAGAACAAAAAACAAAGTTTGCAAGCTAAAAAAAGCCCAGCAAAGCTGGGTGCAGGTCACTGGGGACCATCAAGAGACCCTTAGGGAGAAAGGTGAGGGTGGCAGTTGCAGCCCATTTCCTCCCCCAGAACCTAAAGACCCTTCTTGTCAGCGTCAACCATACTTCCCAGATATGGACAGCAGTGCTGTGGTGAAGGGAACGAACTCTCATATGCCTGATGGCCATGCTAAAGGAAGCCCTTTCTTGGGCAAAGAGCTTAGTTTAGATGAAGCATTCCCTGACCAACAGAATGGCAGTGCCACATACTCCTGGGACCAGTCACCCTGTTCCTCTCCTAAGTGGGAGTGTACAGAGCTGATTCATGACATCCCCTTACCAGAACATCATTCTAGTAACACGTTTGTCTCGGAAACTGAAAGAGAAGTTATGACTCTGGGTCAGGAAAATCGGACAAGTACTGTCAATGATGACAGACTAAAACTGTCAGTGTCTGGGACAGATCAATCTGTGAGTAGTGTAGACGGGCCTGTATCCGAAGAGACTGTTCAGAATAAGAGCTCATGCCACATGGATGAGGATGGATCTCTCAAGCAGAACATTCTTAGTTCTAAGTTGCTGGACCACCCTTACTGTAAAAGTCCACTGGAGGCTCCTTTGATGTGCAGTGGACTCAAACTAGAAAATCAAGTGGGAGGTGGGAAGAACAGTCAAAAAGCATCTCCAGTGGATGATGAACAGCTGTCAGTCTGCCTTTCTGGTATGCACTCTTCCTTTATTCTCCCCCAACCTCCAGCCCACACTTGCTGTCCATTATCCTTTCTGGGAGAGTCCTCTTTTTTCCTTCCACACGTGGACTTCCCTTTAAGCAATTAGACATTCTTCTGCATGCCTTTTATATTGCCATATTATATAGATGTTCCATAATTTATTTAATTTTTGATTGGTGCACACTCGTGTTGCTTCCAGTCGTTTCCTTCTATAAACAATAGTGTAATGAAATTACTTCTTTATACTCACACGGTTGTTTCTGTTAAGTCAAATTCCTAGTAGTAGAATTGATGGTGAAAGAATACTCACACTTAAAATTTTAAGAGGATTGTTAAATTACCCTCCAAAAAGTTGAACCAGTTTGTACTTGTTAAACTTTGCCAGTGTTATAGATCCCATGAAAGTTCTTTGTTTTAATTGGTGTTTTTAAGTTTAAAGTTTGAACATACTTTCCTTTGGTGACCATTTTTTGTATATAATTTTTCTTTGCCTATTTTTCTATTGGATTGTTTATATTTTATTTATTTAATATCTGAGAAGCTCCTATGTACCTGGTACTGTGCTAGCTCTAAGAATATGGCAATGAGCAGGATACACTGATTCCTATCTTCATGGACCTTAGCATTATTCTAGTTTTTTGTTTTTGTTTTTGTTTTTTGGTGAGGAAGATTAGCCCTGAGCTAACATCTATTGCCAATCCTCCTCTTTTTGCTGAGGAAGATTGGCCCTGGGCTAACGTCCATGCCCATCTTCCTCTATTCTAGTTTTTTGTTTTGTTTGGTTTTGGTCTTGGTTTGGTTTATTGCAGGGAAAGATTTGCCCTGAGCTAACATCTGTTGCCAATTGTCCTCTTTCTTTTTTTTTTTCTTCTTCCTCCCCGAAGTCCCATGTGTGGTTATATATCCTAGTTGTAAGTCCTTCTAGTTCTTTTATGTGAGCCACTGCCACAGCATGGCAACTAACAGATGGGTGGTGTGGTTCCATGACCGGGAAACGAATCCGAGCTGCAAAGCGGTGTGCACTGAACTTTAACTACTAAGCCATCAGGGCTGGCTCAGCATTATTCTAGTTTTAAAGATGTAAATTAATTTTAATTATAAATGTCATAAGAGTTTTACATTTTTCTCTCCCATCAGATAAAAAGCCTTCAGTACCCTGACTTTGTGTATGATTTTTTTTAACAGAAAATTTCACTTCTTAACATAGTAAAACTTACCTGTCTTTACTTTGTGACTTCAAGTTTTTACGTCATGCTTTAAAAAGTCATCTTGTCAAAATCTACCCCATGAAGTAAATTGGTATAAACATTTTTGAAAGACAATATGACAGTATCAGCCTTTGACCCATTCCCCTTCTTGCACTTTATCCGAGATATAAAACAGCACAAATATATTTGTACAGGGACATTACTTATAGTATTGTCTTGGTAATAAAAAACCGAAGACAACCCAAGCAAATGATTCTATGGAAGTATAAATTATTGCACATCCAGGCAATAGTATACTACAAAGCTGTTAAAGAATAAATTTGATCTATATTTTGATACTGAAAGCTGTCTATATAAAGTGAAAAAAGCAAGTTGCAAAGCAGAGTGATGCCATTTTGTTAATTAAAAGATATATATATACACACATGTAGCATGATTATATGTATGTGTGCACATGCATTTGTATAGCGTATATTCTGGACAGATATCACATTGTTATAAATGGCTTTTTCTGGGGATGTAGGAGAGTTACTTCTTGGCGGTTTAAATAATTCTGAACACTTTGTTTTCCCAACCATGAAGTATGTAAAAAAGTTTTTCCCCACAAAAACACAAAGTACAGAGTCCTAGTAAATATTTAAAAAAAACTATTTTCTGTTGTTTATACTGTTCTAGAATAAAAACAAATTTCCCTACTATGTGGTTAGCACCCCGAAAGTTAGCATTTCCCACAAATACTAATTAACTTATAAATAACAAAAAAACAATTGATAAATGGATTATGACATATAGTAAAACTGTAGCATGATGTGAGGAAGTAGGAATTTTTACAGAATTCACACTTAGTGATCTGTAATGTGATTCATTATTTTAATAGGCTAAAGGAGAAAAATCATGGCATCTTAGCAAGTACTGAAAAGCCTATTAATAAAACTCAGCTACCCTTGTGTTGAAATCTTTTAGAAAACTAGTAATAAAGAAAACTTCTTCACTTAGTAAACAACATCTGTCAGAAACAAATAGCAGTTCCAGGTTTAAGAGGATGAAGTAAGCACCATGGAATGTCTTCTCCCTCCTCTCAAATCCATAGAAATTATGAAAAATATATTAAAACACATACGTATCTCCATACTCAAAAACAAGGAGGAGAGTTTTGGTGGATCAGAAACTGAGAAACTCCCACAAGGCAGAAAGTAGAGGGAAGGTCTAGAGGGGAGCCCCAGTGGCAGAAGGAAGATTAGTGCAGGAAAATGGTGCAACACTGAGGGTGTCCCGTTTCTGGAGATGGTGGAGAAGAAAGGGGAGACCCATCGTAAAAGACTGAGTAGTCTCTCTCCCTGCCTGTGCCACATATCAGCAAGTTTTAGTGAGATATAATTGACATCACAGAAATTCTAAGAACAGGAGATTGGTGGGGGGAGAGAGGATATTTTCCCCTCCCCCTCCCCCATAACTTGTAACACCTGGCAAGGAGGAGGAACATCCCTTTCCAGAAGAACAGTTTTTGACGTTCTAAGCATCCCCATTCCCACTGAAAATAGTTCAAGGCAGAGCAATAGCTACTGCCTATCACAGCCCTCCCCCTACCCAGCAAGTTACCCAAGTAGAGATGAGCCCATAATCTATCACTAAACATCTCAGGAAAGCCAACACAATGAGAGACAAATTCAACAAATAAAAGAACTAAACCTGAGTTATCAAGGTTAATAGAGCAATCAGAATAGGAATCAATTTAGGACAATCAGTATAGTAGATGCTCTCTTAGCTGACTTCTATAGCGTTAGCCAATATTAAGCTCTATGGTATGCTGAATGCTGGCTCTTCTCTAATATAATGCACATTATGCTCATTTTAGTAGATATATTTATCAAGAGCCAGTTGTACTTATTACAGTTTACTTACTGTGTTTCATAATTTTATTAAATATTGCATAAACTGGTGAAATATGAGTATAAAAGGGAAGTTATTCCCTTCAAAACCAAGTTGAATGCTTTGTAATGACAGTGGGTTGCTGAAAAAAATTAATACTGAGTTACACTTGTACAAGATAACTTTAAAAGATTTGAGGGAGGATATAAAAATCTAGGATTCTGCGCTCAGATTAGCTATCTGTTTTGGAAGGAAAAGAAATAGATTTCTATGTCACAGTATATTCCTGATGGATTAAAAATTTAACTAATTAGAGGGGCCGGCCCGGTGGCGCAAGAGGTTAAGTGCATGTGCTCCACTGTGGCGGCCCGGGGCGCGCTGGTTCGGATCCTGGGTGCACACCGATGCACTGCTTGTTGGGCCATGCTGTGACGGCGTCCCATATAAAGTGGAGGAAGATGGGCATGGATGTTGGCCTGGGGCCGGTATTCCTCAGCAAAAAGAGGAGGATTGGCAGATGTTAGCTCAGGGCCGATCTTCCTCACAAAAAGAAAAATTTAACTAATTAGAAACAAATACACAAAAATTTATACACAAATGTTCATAGCATCATTATTCATAATAGCCAAAAAGTGGAAACAACCTAAATGTCCATCAACTGATGAATGACAAATAAAATTTGGTGTATCCATACAATGGACTATTATTCTGCCGTAAAAAGGAATGATGTACTGATACATGTTTCAACGTGGATGAACCTTGAAAACATGCTAAGTGAAAGAAGCCAGTCACAAAAGGCCACATACCATATGATTCTATTGATTTGAAATGTCCAGAGTAGGCTAATATTTAGAGATAGAAAGTCGATTAAGGTTGCCAGGGGCAGGGGAGAGGGGAGAATGAGGAGTGACTGCTAACAGGTACAAAGTTTCTTTGTGGGTGTATTCCAAGTGTTCTGGACTTAGGTAGTGGTAATAGTTGCACAACTCTGAATATACAAAAGCCCCACTGAACTGTACACTTTAAGAGAGAGAATTTTGTGGTATGTGAATCATAGCTCAATAAAGCTGTTAAAAAGAAACATACAAGAGACCATTTTTATAATCTTATCTTGAAAAGATATTTTAAAGTATGATAGGAAACTCAGAAGCAATAACAATATACCAATTTGACTCCATAAATATTAAAATCTTGTATATGCATATAACAAAAGTCATCAGTGAAAATTTGGAAGTTTTAGGTGTGCATGTCCTTTGACCCAGAGATTTGACTTTTAGCAAGTGTGTTCTGGGGAAACAATAGAACAAGGATATATTGAGGATTTTAGTTGTGACATTATTTAGAGAGCTAAAAATTAACAACTTAAATCCTCATCAATAGGGAATTGGTTAAAATATGGCATACCCATTTAATAGACTTCTAGGTTGTTTTGAATTGATTTAGGAAAAAAATATCCATGATTTGTATTGAATGGAAAAAAGCAGCTTCAAAAAGAGTAAGTACAGTGTGCTACTTACAGTGTTTAAGAAATACATGTTCATGAGGGCATAAAAGGTATAAAGGAATTATGAGGTAACTGCCACTTCGTTTTAAAATGTTTATGGTCATGTATTAGGGGAAAAAAACCAAACTTCTACTTAAAGTTTATTCCCACTTCAAGTTTATAAAAATGTTCAACCCTATTTTCTTCTACACTGTTAATGTGTTATTTGTACATTTAGCCATTTGGAAAAAAGTAAAGATGGATCCCTACCTCATTCTGTACACCAAAATGAATTTCACCTGTGAATAAAACATTGTCAGTAATTCTAATACTATTTATTGATTAATTGATCTTTTCCTCATGGTTGTAAGATGACACCTGCCATTGGGTCTCTTTCTGGACTTGGTTTCTCTATTTCTATGCTAGCACTATTCTCTAATTACTGTAGTTAGTTTTATAATTTGATGGGACTAGGCCCTCCTTCTCCTCTTCTCTCTTGCCTGTTATTCACCTCCCCTTTAATCCTTTTCAAAAATTTCTAGGAGTTTCTCACATTCTTGTCCCAAGATGAATTTTGGATTTGTCTTTTCAGTTAAAACAAACAATGGCTTTTGATTGGTATTGCATTACATTTATAGACTAATTTAGGGAAAATTGCATTTCTAAAAACAGAATTACTCCATTTATTGACCTCTGTCCTTTACTAGAATTTTGTAGTGCTTTTCACTTAGGTTTCACATATTCTTTAAGTTTATTCTTAGATGTTTCATGCCTTCTTTTTTTTTTTTTTTGAGGAAGATTGGCCCTGAACTAACATCTGTTGGCGATCCTCCTCTTTTTCTTTTTAATCCCCAAAGCCGACTATGTAGTTGTGTATCATAGTTACTGAGTTGTAGCTCTTCTATGTGGGACGCCGCCACAGCATGGCTTGATGAACAGTGAGTGGGTCCAAGCCCAAGATCTGAACCAGTGAACCCCAGGCCTCCGAAGCAGAATGCACGAACTTAACCGCTAGGCCACTGGGCTGGCCCCGTGCCTTCCTTATTTTTGATGGGACCTTTCTGACATGTGTATTGTGTTTTGTTGGAGAACCAAATGGTTGCATTTCTTACGTACACAACACAATGAACCCCATTCTACATTCAGGTTGGGACGTCGCCCAAGTCAGTTGTCTCAAGAAAAAACTGTACAACGCAGTTGGTTTAACATCATAAGTAATTGAACTTATAACACCTCAGGTTTTGTTTTTCATATTATTAACCTTTTTCATGTTATTACTTGCAAGATAGACTATAATTTGAACTCTATTTTTTGTTTTGTGTGTTTGTAACATTGTGTCCTTTATTTCTTGGTCACATTGAAATTTTAGTGTTTTTGGAGTAAAAGAAATTGTGTATAGCAAATGCATTTTTCCTTTTTGGTTCATTAGTTTGGTGAAAGCAAGTAGGTAAAGAATAATGGATTTAACTCACATTTTAAGAAGTCTGTTTTCTGGGAGATTCTTGGCCACTGGTAGTAAAAGGGAAAGGTGAAGTGAAGAACCAAATTGTTTTTATAGAGAAAAGATAGTAGGTATTCCCTGCTTTGGAGGTGACACAGCATGATAGTTATGGGCTCGGTTTCTCTGGTCACATGACCTAGAGTCAGACCCTTAGTTCTGCCATGTGCTAGTTAAGGATCCTTGCGGGGGCCGGCCCTGTGGCTTGGTGGTTAAGTGCGCGCGCTGCGATGCTGGTGGCCCGGGTTCGGATCCCGGGTGCGCATCGAGGCGCCACTTCTCCGTTCATCCTGAGGCCGAGTCCCGCATACAGCGACTAGAAGGATGTGCAGCTACGACATACAACTATCCACTGGGGCTTTGGGGGAAAAAATAAAATAAATAAAATCTTAAAAAAAAAAAAAAAAAGGGTCCTTGGGGAAGTTACTTAACCTCCCTAAGCTTCCTGTCTCCATTTGTAAAGGAGAGATACTGTCTAACACATGGGGTAGTTACAAGGATGAGATGAGATATTCTAGTTCTTGGCTCATAAGTGCTCTTTAACTGTCGTTTTACTTCTGGTCCCAGTGAGATAATGGTGTGCATCAGTGAGACATTGTCATCTAGAGTTCTCCTTGAAGATCCAGGTAGGGCCTTTCTATACATTAGGAATCCATGTTTATCATCTGAAAGTGAAAACAAGAATACAGATAAGAGGAAAAATATAATAATTTAAAACTCTCAAAATACTACCATCCAGAAATAACATTGTTAACAAGAACACCTCTTTCCCATGGTATCACTTATTTGGAATTGAGGTCCATATCCCCTTGATAGAGGAGACTGCTTTCTTATTTGAGGAATCTTAATTAAGGTTGCCAGGCCTAAAGTTTAATTTTTTGTTAAAATATTTTTTTTGTATAAAATTGTTCCTTAAAACCAGTTTCTCGGGCTGGCCCTGTGGCATAGTGGTTAAGTGCGCGTGCTCCGCTGCTGGCAGCCGGGTTCGGATCCCCGGCGCACACCGATGCACCGCTTGTCAGGCCATGCTGTGGCAGCGTCCCGTATAAAGTGGAGGAAGATAGGCACGGATGTTAGCCCAGGGCCAGTCTTCCTCAACAAAAAGAGGAGGATCGGCATGGATGTTAGCTCAGGGCTGATCTTCCTCAGATTAAAAAAAAAAAAAAGTTTCTCAAATGTTGGGATTCTTTATCTCTTGTTTGGGTCCATTCTCCTGTGTAGACCCAAGGCTGTGCTTAGATAACTGTAAGATATGATACAGTAAACTATAAGCAAATATATGCTCTATTCCTCATTTGGAAGCCCTGAGTCTTTATCTCCTACTCTGATTAAGCTGGAACATGGGACTCCCTTTCTGTCTTCCGTATACCTAAAGCCCTAGACCAGAAGCAGGCATAAGCAAGCAAGCAACTCTTGTTTCCTATACCCTGACCTTTGCTCTTGTCTTAAGCCTTTCAAATTGAGAGCCACTCTGGTGGGAGACTAAGAGGAGGAAAAATAAGTTTTTCATACCTTTGATGCCCTCCCCCTACAAAACACTCCATTCCCAGGACAGTCACTCTTGGAATCCTTCCTGTCCATTTTGTATTGATGCATTAGCAGAGGCCATTCTTGAAGTTAGAAAGGGAGCTTGGTAAAGTAAGTGGCTAACAGTCCTCATTTTTCCCATCTTAACTCAGTAGACTTGGCTGTCAGGGTGATGGTTACCCAGGCTGTTGCTCTCCCCTTTCAGCATCAGTGAATAGCCTAAGTCGTGTCTGCGCTTTTGTGAACCTTTAAGCCATCCCTCAGCTTCTTTGTATTTACTTAGAAATAATGTCCTGGGTTTATTTCCTAGGGCCTTTTTAGGTATGTTTTTTCAGTGGATCCTCTTGGAAGCCATTAAAATGCATATACATATTACTTAAATTGACTATCCTATATTCTGGCCAGGAAGTCACCCTTCAATTCTGTTTCCCCTCTTAAAATATGCCTCACCAGCTGTTATCCAGTTAAGCTCACCTCATAGAGTTATTCAGTATCAGGAGGAGAATAACTCTCAAATTGTATGATATTAAAAATGCCTTAGAATTTTTCCCTTGCTATGAGATGTGAAATTACATACCTTTACCAAATAATACAGTGACAGTGATCTCAACAATGAATTCCCTCTAATTATGATTTTTAAAAGAATAATTCCTTCAGTTACCAAATGTGATAAACACATTTAACCAGGTGATTAAGCCCTTTAGATTTCACTCTTTAGGAGATAGGATTCTTCTCCAAGGTTAAGCTCCTGAAAGATGTCAATCTTTAGTTTTAGCTAGCCTCTAGCCATGCATCAGTAGCTTAAAAAACCAATGTGGCCTGATGCCTTAGAGTATTTCTCTCTAGATTGGAATGGTGAGGGCTTGATCCATTTAATTTTTTTTTTACAAAGCATAACTTTTAAAAGATTTCTTTATAGTATAATACATGTAGTAATATAGGTTAAATGTGGTTGTGTTGTATATAGGTTAAGTATTGGGGGAATGACTTTGCTGAAAATGGTTTTTCCATCTTAATTTTTCTTTCTTCCTTTAAGGATTCCTAGATGAGGTTATGAAGAAGTATGGCAGTTTGGTCCCACTCAGTGAAAAAGATGTCCTTGGAAGATTAAAAGATGTCTTTAATGAAGACTTTTCTAATAGGTTTGTCAATGATGCTTAAGTTAAGCCCTTGAAAATAAAATTGTTGACATATATGACTTTTCTCTTGATTGAAAAAAAGATGCTTAGCAATAAATTGAGTAGAACTCATGTTTTTTACCTTTCAAAATCTTTCCTTTCAGAAAACCGTTTATCAATAGGGAAATAACAAACTATCGGGCCAGACATCAAAAATGCAACTTCCGCATCTTCTACAATAAGCACATGCTGGATATGGATGATCTAGCGACCCTAGATGGTCAGAATTGGCTGAATGACCAGGTTAGTGTATTGTAGGTTCTCAACATGGAAGAGTTGCAGAGGATTTTGAACAATAAAATGTGATTAATAACCTCTGGGTTGGCCTCATGGTTTTCTTTTGAAATCAAGGATTCTTTATTCCTTACTGAAGTGACTCATTCACTAACCCCAGTATCCACAAAGTTTGATTACTGTTAGCAGTATCAATATGTTATTCATTCTAAGTGAGGTGTTGTGAATTGTACAGGGTTAGTAAGCTGGTCTTGTGTTGACTTTTTATAGGTTATTAATATGTACGGTGAGCTGATAATGGATGCAGTCCCAGAAAAAGTAAGTGAAAACTTATTCTTCTTCAGGACAGAGTCTTTGTATATTAAAAGGAGAAGTTTTTTTTTTTTAACTTTTAAAGTTTTTTTTTTTTTTTAACTTTATGTAGTTATTTAATATTCTTTAGATTTTTAAAAAGGGTTAGGTTTTGTATTGATAATATGCTCAGTTTGGGCGTAAGTTCCATAAAGTAATTTCTGCATAAGAAAGTGATGATGCCAGTGTTTTTCTGCTTATTTGTTTCAGAGTGGGTGTGTTTGTTGATATCTTGAGGAGGCTTTTTTTTCTTAAGTGGGGAGATGCACAAAAGGCACTATTTGCTTTAAGCTTTAAAATTTAACTTAAAGTCTTACTCTGTTTAAAAATGTAGTAAAGTAGTATTCATCTTCCCTTCTTCTTGGATTAATATTTGATACCCAGTTCGAATACAAAGTAACCCCCCTTAAACTCTAAAATTCCCTTAAGAGCTTATTTACATATTAAAACTATTTTTTTTAATTTAATATGTTAATTTTCCTTTCTGAGTACTCAAATTACCTGATGGGCAGCCTTTGATTTCAACAAGCAAAACTTTTCTCAGTACTTTATAAACTTTTATAAATCTAATAATTTAAACAGGTAAATATAATGAATGTCAGATTCCAATGCTATTCATGAATATAGACAAAATGTCTTATAATTTTCCACTTAAAATCATAAATCTCTTATGCATTTCAAATTGGAATCATGAGGCTCATCTGTCAGATTCTCTATTATGTCAAATTCTCTTAATTATCAGAAAGTTTAAATCTAAACACATACAGATGATTTTTAACATAAAAGTATTAACTTTAAGGATATAATTTACCTTCATTACCTCTACATTTGATTAAACCTTCATTGGATTAAAAGGACACTTACTAAGGCAGTGGTTCTCAAAGTGTAGTCCCCAGACCTGCAGAATCAGCATCACCTGGGAACTTACTAGAAATGCATATTTTTGGACTCCAACCCATACCTACCAAATCAGAAACTGGAGGTGGGGTCCAGCAATCTGTGTTTTAATGGCCATCCAGATTCTGATGCACACAAAGTTTGAGAATCACTGCTCTAGAGATGGCTACTACAAACTCTTTTTATCGATATCTTAAGCTGCATGGTTCTCAAAACAAATGTGCATCAGAATCCTCTGGAAGGTTTATAAAACCAGATTGCTGAGCCCCACCCTTAGAGTTTCTGCACCACACTCTGAGAGCCAGGACTACACCCTGAGAACCTCAGAAGTGAGGGAACAGTTTCATCATCTCAAGTGAGTGAAAGTTACTGAGTGAACTTTTTTTTTTTTTTTTTTTGGTGAGGGAGATTGGCCCTGAGCTAACATCTATTGCCATTCTTCTTTTTTTGCTGAGGAAGATTGGCTCTGAGCTAACATCTGTGCCCATCTTCCTCTATTTTGTAGTGGGACACCGCCACAGCATGGCTTGATGAGCAGTGCATGGGTCCATGCCTGGGATTCAAACCTGCAAACCCCAGCCTCCCGAAGCAGAGTGCACAAACTTAACCACTATGCCACGGGGCCAGCCCCTGAGTGAACACTTTAAGACCACAATATGTTTTCTATCTCGGATGAGCTGATACTAATTTATAAGGCAGAAATTTGAAGCCAAGAATGCAAGACATGACGTTCCATACGACTAGGGTAATTCTTTCAGTGCTAGAAATGATCATGCTAAGGCCCTTTTATAGTTGTTATGACAGCAGGAGTCTCCAAATCCTCATCCTTCAGATGGAGTTAGTTTGCAAAACTTGTAATCCATATCCCTTGAGTTCAAGGTAATTGTCACCTCATTCTTTAATGGCTGAGTACTCTTTCAGCTCTGTCACCTGATTGGGAGAGGTTTGTCAGGTTGCTTCTCTACTTGATTGGATTCAGGTAATCTGTTTACTGCCCCATTCCAGTGTTGACTACAGACCACAGCTATAAGGTCATTCTAGTGAAAATTTGGAACAGAATCTTGTGTGAACTGTGTATTTTCTATATTTTGGTCATTATTTTTAAAAAGAAACTTTTCATCACTTTTTTGTCTGTCTTACATTCAAGGATTTTTAAATTTCCATTTTCTTTTGATGTTAAATCTGGGCATAGCCTAACATAATCTGGGTGCTTGTATTTGACATCTCTTCTAGGTTCACTTCTTCAACAGCTTTTTTCATAGACAGCTGGTAACCAAAGGATATAACGGAGTAAAAAGATGGACTAAAAAGGTATTCTTTTTATTTCTTTTTTATTCTAAATTTGAAAGGCAGATGATAAGCCACTTTGAGTGGAACAATAAGAACGTTAATGCCAGTATGATGTTAATTAGAAACACACTCTTTAATGTGACAGTTGTTTTTTATTGTTTATTTTAAATCTTGTTGTTTGAAAGACAAGACACTAGTAAAACTCTGAGTCTATCCAGTTGACTGGAATATTATAACTGAAAGCACTGGGCTGGAAGTTAATGGTTCCAGCATTGCTGTTAGCTTGCTGTACAACTTGGACAAGACATTTACTTTGCCTGGGCTTTAGACTGCTTATTTATAAAACAACATGACAAATCAGAGTAATCCCTATGGTTCCTTCAAACCTTAATATCTCTCTGTATTCATTGACTATGTCTGAAACATTATTTTTAAAGCCCATTTATCTTCTATTTTTGATATTTTGACAAAATTACCAACAAGTTCAAATACCACAGTCATAGATCAAGAGATACTGTAACTTTTCACTTTTTATACTAGATGGGTTAAAGAAATTAAGAGTAAGTCTGAAGTAGTTGTGCATGGAAATAACTTTTTGCAAGATACAAACACCTAACTGAATGTTGCTATGTAGGTAATATGTGCAAAGTATCATCAGTAGTGCCAAGATAAATGAAATGTAGTTGAAGAGTGCGATTCTGGGGAAATAGATATAATGAAGTCGGGAATCAGACTTGGGTTCAGATCCTAGTTCAGCCACTTAACTAGTTGTAAGACCCTGGGCAAACTACTTAATGCCTCTAAGCTTCGGTTTCTTCATCTGTAAAATAGGAACATCAATAGTATTTACCTTGTTGTGAGGATTAAATGAGATAATGCATGTAAACCACTAAGCACATGATAAACACACAGGGATAATCATTACAGTCGTGTTGCTTAACAATAGGGGATAGTTCTGAGAAATGCTTCATTAGGTGATTTCATCATTGTGTGAACATCATAGAGCGTGCTGAAGGGGAACAAAATTTGCCACCCCAAAAAGTGTCTCTTTAACATGAGGATTATTTTAGGCTGTTTATTTTTAAGAAACAAAAGACTCAGGGTTTTTTTATTTCCCCCTTAACTGGCTAAAAGAATTCTGATTAAAAAAACAACCTGTCTCAGGAACTGAGCTATCACCTTAGCATAATATGGACTAGGAGGTAGACAGGGAGGAACCTAGAAAAGCCTGTTTGTGGGGCTCCCCTGTGTTCTTCTGTTTCTGTGTGGCCAAACACTTGTTTTCCAAACTTTTGCTCCTTCACCTACCTGTGAATTGTCTGCTTTCCTTTTGAAGTCCCTGACTCTCCCCACCCCAAGATCTTTTGTTTTTATCTGAGGATAGTATTTAAGGTGAGGGCTTCGGCCATTTTGGCAAGGTACTCAGTTTTCCTAGGTTTTTCCCATGTATACATGTTATTAAACTTTTGTTTGCTTTTCTACGGTTAATCTGTCTTGTGTCAATTTAAATCTCAGACCAGCCAGAAGAACCTAGAAGGGTAGAGTAGAATTTCTTCCTCTCCTACAGTGCTTACACAAACCTAGATGGGTGTAGTCTACTACACATCTAAGCTATATGATACTAATATTATGGGACCATCATTGTATATGCTGTCCGTCATTGACCGAAACATTGTTATGGGGCGCATGACTATATTATGGTGGGAGAAGGCTTCTATAACTGGAATGCAGAGAGCAGAGAAGAGAATGGCATGAAGTGGACCTGATCTGGAGATGTACAGCCTTGAGGTCTATGTTTTGAATTTTATCCTAAATGTATAGGAATTTATTGAAGGGTTTTAGGTAACATAATCTAATTTGTATTCTTTGCTCTAGCAGCACTGAAGAAGATGGATGAGTATGAGAGCAAAGCTGTTGTGGGTGGAACAGAAGGCCATTGCAGATTAATGTTTCTTTGGATTAGAATAGTAGCAGGAGAAGTGGGAGATATACACAAATGTGAGTGTGATCTAGGAAGTAAAATTAACAGGACCTGGTGGTGAGTTGGGTATGGAGATGAAGGAGAAGGAAGTATGAAAAGATGACTTCCAAGTATGTTGCTTGTACTACTGGATGGGCTGTGGTGGTGTTTATATTAGAAAAATTGAGAACAACTAATTAGTAGGAAATAGGTCAAATTAAAAATATACATCCAGGGGCCGGCCCAGTGGCGCAAGTGGTTGAGTGCGCATGCTCCGCTGCAGCAGCCCGGGGTTCACCGGTTCGGATCCCGCACATGCACTGACGCACCGCTTGTCAAGCCATGCTGTGGCGGTGTCCCATATAAAGTAGAGGAAGATGGGCACGGATGTTAGCCCAGGGCCAGTCTTCCTCAGCAAAACAGAGGAGGATTGGCATTGGATGTTAGCTCAGGGCTGGTCCTCCTCACACACACACAAAAATATATATATACATCCATATAATAGGATGCTACTTAACCAGGAAAAGTTATGTAGATGAGGAAAGATGATCACATATAGTGTGGAGTAGAGAAAGGTTATAAATAGCATGGAAAAATGTCTGAATAATAAACTACATGAGAGTGAAGGAATAAAATCAGGTATGTGAGTTATTTCATTAAATAGAATGAATTAAATTATTCCATCCTTTGGATCCTCTCGGATTGAGTTAAGCCACAAAATCCAACTATATGTTGTATATAAGAATGTAAAATAATATGAAAAAGAAGGATTGGAAATAAAGTGATAAAGAGATACTAGGCAAATGCAAACCAAAAGAAAGGAGTGGCAAACAAGAAGAAGGAATAGCAGTATTAACAGCAGATGAGGTCGAATTTAAGGTGAAAACAAACTGTGTGATAAAATTTCAGTGTATAGGAGATATAACAATGATTACAGAAGCAAGGAGACCTTGATAAAATAGTGATAGTGGGAGACCTCTCATAGTTTGACAAATCTAGTAGACCAAAAAATAAGATCATAAGTAAAAATTAAAAAATAAAACCAATTCCTTTGGTTTAATAGGTATATACTAGATCTTTATACCCGTCAAAAAGAGAATATCCATTTATTCCTGTATCTAAGGAACATTTGTAAAAATTGATCACGTACTTGGCCCCAAAGAAAATTATTACATACATTATTCCTTGATCAAAATTCACTCAAATTAAAAATAAATAATAAAAGGTGACTAAAAATTCCTAACAATTTGAAAGTTTTACAGATACACGTATTACTGGATATAACCCCTGGATCTAAAACAAAATAAAAAGGGAAATTGTATACAAACTGTCTAGAGAAAGAGATGGGATGGGGAATACATCTTACCAACCACTGTGGAACATAATGAAAGTTGTTCTGAGGAGAAAGTTAATGGCCATAAATGCCTTTATTATTAAATAAAAGTGAAAAATAGAAGAATTAATTACTCACTAAATTAGATTATATTAAGATAAATTACAGAATGAACAAAGATTTGAATGTAACAAAAATGAAACAATGAAAGTACTAAGAGGATCCATGAGAGAACTTTTTAAAAATAATCTCAGAGTAGCAAAGTCCATTCTGTGTACAACCGAAAACTCAGATGCTATAAAAGAAAAATGAATTCACTTACATAAAAAGAAAAATAATTCTGCATTTAAAAATAGGAGTGGTATAAAAAGACAAATAGTAAACTGGGGAAAATATTTGCTGTACATATCACAGAACTCATTTTCTTAATATATAAAGGGCTTCTACAATCAATCAAGAAAAAGACACCACCAGCTCAATAGAAAAGTGGGTGAATGATATAAATGAAAAGATTTGTAGTAAAGAAAGGCTTATTATTGAGTTGTTCTGGATATAAGTCCTTTGTTAGATCTATGTTTTGTGATTGTTTTCTCAGTCTATGGCTTTTCTACTTATTTTCTTAACTTTGTCTTTTGATGAATGGAGATTTTTAATTTTGATGAAATCTGATTTACCATCCTTTTTTCTTTTATAGTTCTTTCTGTATCCAGTCTAAAAAATATTTGTCTCATATGTTTTCTCCTAATAGCTTTATAGTTTTAGGTTTTACATTTACCTCTCTGATGCATCTCAATTTTTGTGTAAGACATGAGGTAGGGATCAAGGTTCTTTTTTTTCCCGCCATGTGAATATCCAGTTATTCCAATGTCATTTGCTGAAAAGAGTTTTCTTTCCCAGTTTAATTGCTTTGGCACCTTTGGAAAAAGTGAGGTGACCATATATATGTGAGTCTGTTTCTGGACTTTATGTCTCTCTTACATTGATCTCTTTGTTCTTATGCTAATATCTACTGTCTTGATCACTGTATCTTTATAGTATGTCTTGAAATTAGTGTAAGTTGGCCAGCTTTATCCATCTTTTTCCGGATTGTTTTGGTAATTCTAGGTCCTTTGCATTTTCATATGAATTTTAGAATCAGTTTGTCAGTCCATGTTTTTAAAAAACCTGCTGGGTTATGATTGGGATTGTGTTTAATCTATACATTCTTTTGGGGAAAATAGACCTCTTAGCAATAATAAGTCTTCCAGTCCATGAACATGGTATATTTTCCATTTATTTGGGTCTTGAATTTTTCTCAGCAATATTTTATAATTCTTAGTGTATAGGTCTTGGCACATTTTTAAAAATGTATCCCTAAGTATTTCATATTTCTGAAACTGCTATAAAGAGAATTTTTAAAATGTTATCTTCCAGTTGTTGCCGTTAATATATAGAAATACAATTGATTTCTGTATATTGACTTTGTCTCCTGTGACCTTGCCAAACTCACTCACTGGTTCTAGGAGCTTTTTTGTAGATTCTGTGAGATTTTCATAGACAATCATGTCTGTAAGTAGTGACTGTTTTATTTCTTCCTTTCCAAACTGTATGCCATTTTTTTCTTGCTTTATTGTACTGGCTAGGACTTCTAATTTCCCCCCCCCCCCCAAAGCCCGAGTAGATAGTTGTACGTCATAGTTGCACATCCTTCTAGTTGCTGTATGTGGGACGCCGCCTCAGCATGGCCGGAGAAGCGGTGCGTCGGTGCGCGCCCAGGATCCGAACCCGGGCCGTCAGTAGCAGAGCACGCGCACTTAACCGCTAAGCCCCGGGGCCAGTCCCATAGGACTTCTAGTACAATGTAGAATAGAAGTAATAAGAGAGGACATCTTTGCCTTGTTCTCAATCTTAGGAGGAAAGCATTCAGCTTTCGCTACTATTTATGATGTCAGCCATAGGTTTTTTCATAGATGCTCTTTACCAGGTTAAGGAAATTCCCTCCTATTCCCAGTTTGCTGAGAGTTTTTCATCATAAATGGATGTTGAGTTTTATCAAATGCTTTTCCTGCACCTAAGAAGATGATCCTATGGTTTTTTTGTCGTTATTCCTTTAATGCGACCCAAACTGAAGGAGCAGCCCTTAATCTTGAGACATGCCAGTCTCAGGGCTACATGATGGCTCTTGACATGACATAACTTCACTTCTGTTTACAGCACATTAGTTAAAGCAAATCACATGACAGGACTACATTTCTTCCCCTGGGAAGGGCAGTGAAGCCACATGGCAATAGGTAGTTCTGTAGAAACTTCGTATAGGGAGGGCAACAAATAATTGGGATCAATAATACAATCTGCCACACACATCATTCTTAATTCTACGTATAAAGTTATGTGTGTGTGAAAATTAATATATTAACAAGAAGAAGAAAAAGATCTGGAAAGATATACACTGAAGTGTATCTTTTTATCTGTATTTTCTAATTTTTATTTAAAAAATTGTTTCATAATTAAGAAAAAAGTTTCTTTTTGAGAAGAATGTAAATTTGGTCTCATTTAATACTATATGTTAAATGTCCTTTTTTTAGATACTTGGAATTTTTGAGCTGGAAAGGATCAATTGTCTATCCTGTCTAACATTTCTTTCTGTCCACCTCACCTCCCAGGTTTATGGATGTAGAAACTGAAAAGCAGAAGTGCTCAATGCTTTGCTTCAAGGTTATGTAGACTAATAGAAGGTTCATCTAGAGCAGGACATTATCTGAATATCAGAAAGCAAAAAAGGCTTGAGAAATAGTTTCTTAAAATCTGATGTAGTTTAAAATAGCCTTGTAATTGTTTTAACCCAAGGAATCACTAAAATACTCTGAAAAAAGACCTGAAAAACGAAATTCATTAACTCTTTCACATATGGTTACTGAGCATCTACTACTTTATCATCCAGTCCACAACTGGGATTTTGAATTGAATAGCAAATATTTCTCAATTGTAAAGGATATGTATCAGGATGTAAAGGATGAGTTAGGTTTTAAATGATGTGTAAAGAATTATCAAAGACATTTTTCTCAATTTTGACATCTGGGAGACCCGAGGTAGTAATAATAATAGCTAAGATTTATTGACTACATATAATGTGCTAAGCACAGTTTTACACATTTTACATGTATTATCACTCAACGACTTCATAAAGTAGGTACTATTGTTATCTGTATCTTACAGTTGAGGAAATCAAGGCACAAAGAAGCTACCAAAATTGCCAAAGTCATCTGGCCAGTAAGTGGAAGAGCCACAGCAGGAACTTGACCAGACTTGCTTCAGAGCCCATGATCTCAACTACTGTACTGAGTCTGTAGAAAGATAGAAGGCTTATAGCCTATGCTGTTTTCTAATACCATGATTCCTTCCGAAATAAGAATTGAGTCTAGGTCAAATATATTCACAAGAAAATTAGCATGAAAATAAGGCACCCAGTGATATTAGGCAGTTGATAAGCACAGGTTTGGCAGGTTAAATGGAAAGTAGTGCTTTCTGTATCTTCAATTTCCTTATTGTCGTGTACTATAGCTTGGTAGTTACAAGCCTGGGCTAAAACCTGGGTTCAAATTCTGGCTTCACCACTTCCTAGTTTTATGACCTTGGGCAGGTCAAAGGTCAGTAAATGGAAGCTGCTGTTTGTTGTTACTGATTTGGAGAGCCTGTGGTGATGGCTGCATTTCTTTTTCTTTTCTTAATCAGGTGGATTTGTTTAAAAAGAGTCTTCTGTTGATTCCTATTCACCTGGAAGTCCACTGGTCTCTCATTACTGTGACACTCTCTAATCGAATTATTTCATTTTATGATTCCCAAGGCATTCATTTTAAGTTTTGTGTAGAGGTAAGTTAATATACTGCCTGTTTTTTTGCTTCTCCTGTGATTGACCAAATAGTATCTTAGCTCTAGCTAAAATAGCGGAAGTCAGTACCATAGTCAGTTTCTGTCATAAAAACTATCTAAAATGTTGGCAGAGAAAAGGTCTACAAGAGGAATCTCCAGGTGGGGAGAGGTAGCTGTCTACGATCTGGATCCCTCTCTGAGATACATGTCTTATTTGGATTTTGTCAGATTTTTTTCTGCCTTTCTCTTAAAACTACATTTTGAATGTGGATAGAAATTATTTTCCTTGGTCTCTCTTAGAGCTAGGATTGGCTTATATCTTCAAAATAACCTATAGAATGAATTATAGCCAAGAGAATCAGCTGGAGAAATATTACAGTTCAACTAACAAGAGTTCAACAAAATAAAAACAAGAAAAATCAGTAGGTTTCCTGATTTTCCTGCACTAGCAGAACTAGTTAGAAAATGTAACTGAAAAATTTTCAAAAGCAACAAAGATGTAAATTACCCAGGAATATACTGTAGCAAAACATGTGGACGTTCTTCAAGATGAAAACTCGGCAGTATTTAAAGGAAATTTGAATAGATGGAAAGACAGGCAGATTCAATATTGGAAAGAGATCAATTCTCCCCGAACTAATATATACCAATTTCTGTCCTAACCAATTTCCCAACAGGATTTTGAGTGAAATCTGATAAGCTCATCCTAGAATTCATCTTGCAGGATTTATGTGCATGAACAGCTAAAAGTTTTGAAGTAGAACAGTGAAGGAAGGAATACTCTATTAGACATCAAACCAAAGTTTTAATAATTAAAACTATGTATTTATATTGGCTTAGGGATAGACAAGTAGATTGGTGGGACAGCATAGAGAATCTAGAAATAACTCATGTATATGTGGGAACTTAGTATATGATAAAGTTGGGAACGGACAGGCTATTCAGAATATGCCACTGGGGAAGTTCGCTGTCTGTTTAGAAAGTAAAATATAGCTCCTTACTTCATACCATTTATAAAAACAAATTCCAGATGGATTAATGACCTAAATATAAAACAGAAAACTGTATAAGTTAGAATAAAATGTAGAAGATGTTATGTTCTTAGAGTAGGGAAGGCCTTCTTACACAGAACAAAAAATCAAAAGACATAAAGGAACACATTGATAAATTGGACCGTAACGTAATGTAAAACTTCTGTATGCCTTAAAGTTAAAAGACAAGGAATAGACTTAGAGAAAATGTTTCTGACATACATTATAGCTAGTCACTATCCAGAATATATAAAGAACTCCTACAAATGAAAAAGAAAAAGAAAGATCTAATAGAAATGGACAAAGGATAAAATAAGTAATTTTTAGGAAAAATGTAAATAACCATTAAACACATGGAAAAATGCTCAGCCTCACCAGAATTACAGGAAATGCAAATTAAAACTATGTCAGTGTTCCATTTTTTGCCTATTATATTAGGAAAAGTTTGATGTTAAGTGTTTATGTGGGTGTAAGGAAACAGGCATTATCATATTTTCTGGTGGAGTGTATAAATTGATATAGCAACTTAGGGGACAATTGCAATTCTAATCAGTTCTAAGTGCCTTATAAATTTAAAAGATGCATATCCTATTGCATACCAGTTCTATTTCTTGGTATCTACTCCATAAAAATGCTTGTGTATGCACATAAGAAAGAGGTGTGCGCCAGGATGTTCATTGCAGCATTATTGATAACAGTGAAAAATCAAAACAACCCAAATTTAGCCCTACCAACAGAATAGCTAAATACATACACTATAGTATATTCATATTATTAAATTGACCATAGCAGTTAAAAAGAATATAGTAGATCTCCGTGTCCTAACATGGAATGATCTCCAAGATGTTTTGAGTTTAAAAAAGCAAGTTGCAGAATGGTATAGTATGTTTATAGAAAGAAAATACATATACGCATACATGTATATGTATATATAGGTATGTATATACAAACACACACTTGTATATATACACATACATACATACTTCTACTGATACTTCTACTCTATCTTCAGGGTGGTTGATTTAATTCATGTAACCTCTGACTTCACCCTTAGAAGAGATATGCAGAGTGAGAGATGCACAAAAGCATTGAGGGTGTAAGGGAAAATTTGAAACTCCAATGGGCTTCATCTTGGTAGAGATTTCAGCAGTGGACTTGATTATATTTCGTATCCACAGTGGTTTTAAGTTAACTTTCAAGAAACAGAATACCTTTACCTGCAGCAAAAATAAGGAGTATATCTAAGGCTGGAATGTTTTTCACTTAGTTTCAGTTACTAATGATTTCTGCCATGGCTTCCTTCCCTCTATTGAGCATTGGCAGTACTTAAGACTTTCTTTTTGTCTTGCTAGTATTTAAGTTTCAAATTCAGCAAGTTGACTTACTGCTGGAATGGGCTGACTACCTCATAAAAAGTTTTAATTACAACATACCAGTGTCCGCAGTCTAAGTGTATACCTGAGTGCAGAAGGTCTGAGTCCTTCTTAACACTATGAAGTGAAAGGTCTGAAATCAAGTTCCAGCTTTAAACTCTGTAATGCATACTTTTGCCCAGTGGTGGGGCCACAGCCTCCTCCTTTGCTTCTGTCTGCTATGGGCAGGTTCCATTTTTCACCAACTGATGGAACACAGCATCTGTGTTGTGGTTTCTTTTTAACCAGAATATAAGAAAGTATTTGCTGACTGAAGCCAGAGAAAAAAATAGACCTGAATTTCTTCAGGGTTGGCAGACTGCTGTTACAAAGGTAAGTATGTGATAAAAATGAAAACCCAGGCATGTCAAGGGGATGGAATTATCTAAGGGGTGGTGTCTTTAAAAGCATTTGAAGACTAGTGACGAAAGTACCAATGGAGAACCTGGAGGCTGCAGGAAGGCAACTCAGAATAAACCTCAGTTTAGTATTCATCATCTGGCTGCTCAATTTCCCAGTGCTTGCTGGGAACAAATAAATTAAATCACTTCATCCCTGGGGCAGCTGCTAATGATATGATTGCTCTATTGAAAAAAATAAAAAAATATATATACTTTACTTATTTTTTTTTTTTTGGTGGTACCTGCCTCTTGCCTCATGGCTCTTATTTCCAGATGACCCATATAGACCCCCAAAAATACTGAAATGACTGTTTGGATCCACTGAGGGAGCAAGTGCACTGGGCTACTTTCCAGGCATGTGGGGAAGACATTGGCCTGAGTGCTTCTGAACACAATCAGGAAGCAGCACTAGGTTGGCCCATAGACATTAAAACTGTATGTGGAGCAGAGTGTCCAGGCACAGCCTCTCAATCCTGTCACAAATACCAGTGTCTTACGTTTTATGGTCACTGCTTTGTGTTTCCAAAGTTGTTTTTGCATGTATGATCTCATTTGATCCTTACAACCTGTAAGGTAGGTCAGCTAGGGATAAGCATCATTTTTATTCTATAGATGAGAAAACTGAAGCATAAATGGCTTCCTCAAAAGCCATCAAAACTATTGATAGTCAGGTCCTTGAACTCGGGTCTGTCTGGATCATTGACACAATGTTAGAGGCAGGGTCTTGAAATAAACCTTTAACCCACACCCAAAGGGACAAGATTTATTTGTTTGTCCTTGAACTGAACCAAATGCTAAATTTTAAACTTGTTTTGTGTTTTAAATAACCTAGTATATTAGTTCAAACCAGAATTGAACTTGTAAATTTTCTTAATTTACCCAACTAGAATATCCAGGTATTCTCCTAAATTTAGTAAGAATCTTTCATATTCCCACTTGAGGCAGAATATAGTAACCAGTTCTTTTGAAAACATACTCCTTCCTTTACAGTTCCTTTCAAAGAAGGGGACAGAGTTGTGTAATACGAGATGAAAAGTGAAGACTGCTAAGCAGGATTGTTACTTGCTAAGTATTCAGAGTCCAGGCATATGTTCTCTGATCCACAATTCCATTTTGATTCCATTGTCAGTGAATTGATAGCAAAACTAATTATCCAAATGGAAGTTTTAATATAGGGTTTTATTTGATTTCCTATTTCTCATATTTAGGCAAACTGTTGTTCTATAAATTGTGGTTGATTGATAGTTCTTTTCATGTGGTCAGATGCCTCCGTAAAATCAAACACTTTAAATACTGTAGGTATACATCAGCTATCCTGGATAGAGATAAGTTTCCTGTCTCTTGCTCATTTTTCCATAAAGACAGTTTTTCTTATCTGAAGAAGAGTACTTGGTCTTAATGATCATTTTGTTTTTCCCCTTAGTGTATTCCACAACAGAAAAATGACAGTGACTGTGGAGTCTTTGTGCTCCAGGTAAAGAAATACTGTTTTTCAGAATTTACAGCGTGTGAATTAAATTTGTTGGGTTTAGAGAGGAGAAATGGGAGTCCTTGTGATGTGTATGTGGTACTACATACAGGTAACAGAGTACTTTTCCTCCCCCTCCCTTCCTTTGTTGTTGAGAAGCAGTAGTTTCTGCATTTTCAGATCATAAGGAACAACCAACTTCTAAGGCCAAGCATGCATAATTGGTATCATCCATGTCTTCTCAGAGGTTATTAGTAAGCCACACTGGAGACTGTCCTGAATTCATCCATATCATAGACCCTTGCCATTTGTAGAGTTAACTATATTTTTTTAACCACTGGCAAATGGTCTTTAACCACAAAGTAAAACCTAATTAGATTTTAAATAAGGGCCACATTCAAAAACTTTCTCATGCTGTAAGTTCTCTTAGTGATCTAAAAGGGCTATTAAAAAATTTGTTATACATTATATTTATGAAGGAAATTATAGTATATAATCCATGAATTTAGAGGTTTACAAACATCTTAGACGGGCTCATTCATATGACTCACAAATGACTGAAGTTTGTAAACAAATTCAGATTCTCAAAGACCACATTAGCTCTAGGTGCATTCTCAGCAGAGGTTGCACCTTGAGAAGAACTGGCGCCTCTTCATCAGTTTCTACTTTTCACAGTATTGAGTGGGGAGGGAGGAGAGATCCCAAGCCATATACTTGCCTGAAAAGTTGACTATAATTTGGAGGTAAATGTTTTAAAACAATGTGCTTTACAATAAGTTTTAGAAAACTTTAAGATGCTGCCTTAGACCCTATTCTGTTTGGGCTGTATATAACTTCACATACCACTTAAATGTTTCTGGGACCTTTGCAGTACTGCAAGTGCCTCGCCTTAGAGCAGCCTTTCCAGTTTTCCCAAGAAGACATGCCCCGAGTGCGGAAGAGGATTTACAAGGAGCTGTGTGAGTGCCGGCTCATGGACTGAAACTCAGCAGGGACTCTGGGAAGTCTGACCAAGATGGAGCAGATGGTTTGTTACTTGAATCTCCAAACACTTATTTGAATTTTTATAGATATTTCAGATCAGTGGTGTTGGGCCACTATTGTTACCTCAAATTTATTTTTTGCCCTTATTCATTTCTCTATCTACCATGTACTATTTTTTAATGTTCAGTTTGGTTTCATTTTTATTTTTATGGATTCTGCGTGTTTCCCCCCATATTTAATATTTATTATCCAAACGCATGCATATAGACAGAGCATGCAGTGCAGAGTATTAAAAAAAAAAAGAAAAAAATACCTAGTAGATTTGGTGCAGCTTTTGAAACTTAGTTAGACATGAACTGAATACAGGTTTAAAATTTAATACCAGAACCTAAAAATGCAGGATGTTTTTGATACAACATAACTCTGAGAATAGTAGATGTTCCCTGGGGCATGAAGGGTAGTTAGGAGTGGTTTTGACAAAGCCAGTCCTGTTTTACTTCTACCAGCAGCACCTTTCACTGACTTCCCTTTCCAAGTGAGTCTTGGAGAGTGAGCTGCATTCCTTTTGAAGGGTGAGAAGGAAGTGGCCATAAACTGACTGGCGTGTTCTGTTTATAGAGGCACACTTGCAGGCATAGTGCCTGCTCTGGCAAGAGTTGACTAAGGTATGAGAAAAAGACAACGATCTTGAGGGTCCAGTTATCTTAACACATGGAGAGATTTCAATTTTGGTTTTAAGACGAATTACAATAAATGCCCAAATCTTACAAATGCTATTGCTGGAACATTGAATTCCCTGGATTTTTCTGTTATTGATCATTAAAAAACTTAATATCCATCAAACTAGTGGTCAGACAAATGAGAATTCAGCCTAAGAGTAATTTACAAGTTGTCACTTCCCTTCTGTTGTCTTCTATATGGAAGAAATTAAGATTTGCCAAATACCTTTCTATTTCAAGGGTATTTAAAATATAAACATTCAAAACCGAAGACTGACTTCAGGTCTTTTGCAGGTGGGTGGGGAGAAGAGAGGAAGGGTAATAAAGACAACTTGATTCTGTGGGAGTAAAGCAAATGTCATTACAGTTTGTTTCCTCTCGTCTCTTTAGTGATCTCAGCAACATGCAGGGCTCCTCATCTGGCCTCTGCTTGACCAAGCCTGAGGCTCCAGCACAGGGAGCCCTTTTTTCCAGTCTGTGAACCTCATCTTCTAGGGAAAGGCAGAAATAGCCCTGTCCTTACACTTAGCTGCATTAGGGTTAAAGTAATGGATCTTGCATCTTTAGCCTTTTGTGATATTTGAAAGGAAAGGAAATAAAGAAGGATGCATGTTAAACTCCCAAATTATCTTTTCTGAATGGGGGCAGGAAAGACAATAAATGTGTATATAAGAAACTCAGAAGCTTGTACAGAAAAATACCAAGTAAATGGCAAAAGATACTTGGATTTATGCCTCTTTAGGTGTGGGGTGTTGAAAATAAAAAGCTAAAATGTGCAGTTTAACTTTGCCGTTAAGGTGAGGCTGACTGCCAGCAGTTGAGAGTGGCGTCAGGACATGTTTACACACAGGGTTCCCATCCCCAGACATTCCAAGCTCAACGCCAGTGTTTACATTGTAAACAGCCCCAGCACTTTCCTGAGTCCCCCAGACTCCAACCCTTGGTGTAAAACCAGGTCAGTATTTCTTGTTGTGCTTCAGGTCATTAAAAAGACTGAGATTAGAGGCACTTTATGCTGCTACAGGTAGGGTTGTGTCAGCATTAGGAAAGATGACAATTTAAAGTGGAGAGGATGTCTTCTTCAAGTTTTCAGACATAATTATGCAAACATGCTATTTTTCAAATCTGTAAGTGAGACATTTGCCTAACTTTTTTTTTTTTTTGGTAGCTATACAAAGTAGCCAGTAACTAAGCTATCAATTCAAAATGTCTTATACTTTAGAGCTCCATATTTCACCTCCTCACTGACAGAACTAGGCATGCAGAAGAGACAGGAAGAACTGTATTCTGTCAAGAATCTGAATTAATGCCCAAAGCTTGAGTTGCTGTTTCCTCCAATCTGAGAAATGGTCACCCTCTCAGCACTGAGGCACACAGGGACGAGCACAGAGAACCTAAAGTGAGCTGTCCAAGTCCAGTTTCTCTTTCATTTCCAGCTTAATAGGGTACCTTGAGGTGTACTGTCCAGTGTGCTTTACTCTAAATGTTAAACATTTTAAGTTTGGTTAAAATGTTTGTCATTCATGAAACTTGGTTTTACCACACATAGCCTGCTTTCCCCACCCCTTCTTGTGATTAGGTGTAAACCTCTGTTTAGCCCAAGTCCACATTAGAATGGCCTTTGTCCTGATGTTTGCAATAATTGCTTCCTTGCAACAAAGACATTTTTGAAACATAGTCTAGGCTGTTGGTAGAAGAGACAGGCATTGTTTTACTGTCACTAGCTTGGCACTGAAATGTTTTGGTGCCCACAAGGTGGGCAGACCATATGCTTTTGGGGTTGAGTGCAGGCCTTGTACAAACCAAAAGCTACTTATGATGTGCCTTCAACAAGCTGCCCAGTCCTCTCCATCAGCAAACTTACCAGTCTGCTTCTTTCCAGTGACTTTTCCTTTTGTTAAATCTGTAGCAATGAATGTAGATTTAATTCAACTTTTAGTTAAGCTCTCTCAAGAATCATAGAGAACCAACCTTCTCTTAAGGAAGGGAACCTCTTAAGGAAGGGAAAAGAAGCAGTTGCTGCCAGTAATCCCCAAATCACATTTTTGGCTTTGCATTGTATTTTCTACTTATCACTGAATACTAGTAACACTGGTCATTTTGACTTCATAGTTGGAACAAAACAATAACAAACCTAACTGGGACAAAGCCAGCACTAGCCTAAGTTGAGCTGCCCTTTTTCTCTGCAGTTGTAGTTCACTGCTTCCCTGGGTTAGAAGAGATAACTGGGAGCTCTGGGTGGATCAGACCCTTCAGGGGAGAAACAGTTTATTAATAGTGTGAATTAGATATAAAGACTACCTGCTCTGTTTAATTCTGTTAAGAAACTGAACTAATCAGCAGTTATAAAGCACATACTTTGTTATGTGCTAGGCTCTGCCTCCTGGCCTGTAGATAATTAAGAAGACCCAGGGAATACCATCAGAGAAGTGCTAATTATATTTGGGTGTTGCAAAAGCAGACCTAGACAAGCTGTTCACTTAAATGGTACCTTTTGGTCAGAAAAAGAATTTATTTAAAGAGTGTGATGATGTAAAATTACTCAAACCTTCTAGCAAAAATATTTTTTTGAAAAATAAACTAAATGCCTTTATAAATGTGTGTTCTCGTGTGTTGAATAACATATCCTGTTTGTTTGGTGAGTAGTAATTTTTACCAGTGACATTCCGGTCATGACAAGGTTCATTAATGAACAGTGATCCATGTAGGCTCTAAGCAGCCTACCCTTAAACAGCACTGTCCAATTGAATTTTCTGCAGTGATGGAAATGTTCTATATTTGCATCCATTACAACAGCCACTAGCCACATGTGGCTGTTGAGCATTTGAAATGTGACTAGTGTGACTGAGGAACTAAATGTTTTAATTTGGTTAATTAGCTACATGTGGCTAGTGGCTACCATATTAGGTAACTGTAAAATCAAAATGGACATGCAAATTCTACATATTATTCACAGATCCTCCCTAAAACACATCCATAAATACTCCTGAGTAAGCAAGTTCCAATGTCCCTCGTTATAGATGAGGAAACCGGCACAATGATGTTGGTCCAACTTTATTGAAATCCGTTACAGAAGACACAATTCAAATAGGAACCACTGTCTGTGGTTTTAAGGCCTATAGAAATTAGAGTTATGTTTTACTACAAAAGAATATAAAGTACATTAATTCAAACTACGATGTAAAAAGAAACTTTAAAAATGAATATTATGTCCTCATTAAATTAAATGTCTGCCAACAGTTTTTTCCAAAGCACTTACAACTAGTTATAGCTCTTTTAAAAATTCAAATAACCAGTTTCAATTTAAAGAGACAACCTACACTTACTGTACCATGACAGATGTTCACATTGAGATATTTCAGCCCCAACTTTTCACAAAGTACTGGAAGTTACGAGATACTTTGTTGCTAGATGAAAAAATTTCATTTGTCAGGGAAAATTATACTAGACTAGCAGTTTTAAATAAGCTATAGTTCACACACAATATTAGAGAAAAATCACCTCTTGCCTTACAAATGCAAAATAAATTCTCTAGACTCCCTTCTCTGTAGAGACCATCAGCTCACTATCAAAGCTCTGAAACTCAGTAAGCACAATTGGGGAAAACAAGACAGACTTCAGTATGGGAACTGGCCGAAACACATTTCCTGAGGGAAGCATTTGATTGTTTTTGTTAAGCATTCTCTGGATCTTCAGGCTCTTTTTTAAACCCACTCCATTCCCAAGATCACTCCAAAAATGAAAAGAATAAATCTGATGGCCCTCACAGCAACCATCATGTCAAGGCAATTAATTCATGTCCCCGATACTTCATCCCATTTCCTACTGACAGTGTCCCCCCTGCTCATATAAGTATTTGAGGTTCTCCATAATACAAACCCTTGCTTTTTTTAGCTTTAGGTATAACACTTACATCTTTTGAAAAGTATGTTTAGTAAATACCCTTCCAAGTCCTGTCCCTAACTTCCTGATCTGTAAAGCATGGAAGCAGGTGGTGTCCCCTGGGTCTGTCTAAGGCGTACTTTTGCACCAACTATTTAGAAAGTCCCCTTGACTCCTAAATTTGCCTTTAGAGATTAGAATTCAACATAGAAAACAAATTCAGTTGTCAAACATCTGTTCCTAATTTAGAGCAAAGCTATACAACAAAGCAAAACTCCATTTATTAAACTTTATCCCACACAAACTTAGAATTAAAAAAATAATAATTCCAGGCCCCAGTGCAGACCATGAACCTACTTAGATGCAAACACGGTAAACAAATTTTTTAAGTTTTCCAGTCTTCCTAAAAAAAAAGTGTGGTGTTTGGGACTGAAAGATCAACATTATAGATCAAATCTGTTGCCAAGGAACACAATTTTTGATCTGGTAACAGAAAATCATTCTGGTAACCTGACACATGGCCAAGATTCTAAGACTAAAGAATTAAAGGCATCCTTTTGGATTCTGTCCTTTAATAATTTTCAGAGGAAAACCATGAAGGGGCTTCCCGCTCAGTACAGACATTGATCAAAGCTTGGTAAAAATGAGCAGGTGTGCAGACCTTGGGTAACGTACATCAAATTCAAGAGGCCAAAGGAGGAGTTTTTCGTGATGGGGCTCTCACCACTCACTGGTTTTGGGCCAGTTTTCCATAGCCTCCTCTCCCAGCATCATAGTCCTGCCGATACTCATCTCGTACCTTAATTGAAAAGAACACAAGTTACAGTATAGAGAAGATCGGTGTAACACATATGCCTCCAACAACATGTCAGACAACCAACTAAGCCTTTTCAAATATCATAATGTGAACATTTGAGCAGGACATAACTTTTTTTGAGCAACTGATACAAAGCTCAACTGCCTTGCAAAATTACCTAAGACTACCCAATGGTTTTCTCCCAAACGTCAGGCTCCTACTCATTCACCAGCATTCAAAAATAGCACATTCCAAAGAATAAGTACTTAAATTAGGCTATTTATTTTAAAATAAAAACTTAAAACTCATTTCAGTGCATTTTGCTTTTTTCCTAGATACTTGCAGGTGGAAAATATCTAGCCCCTAGCAGAAGTCCAATACTATTTCATGGTTTAAAAAGCAATTTACCAATTCCAGTGGCTAGTTTTCAGATTCACTTCAAACCAAGGTTATAGGCACAAAGTTATTTTCAAAAGAGCAAATACAAATTGACAGAACACTTGTCATTAGGACTGGAATCCCAGGCAAAGGCGGTGCCCAGAGAACCTTCCTGCATACCTGGCCCCCAGATCGCCCACGGCCATACTGCCTGCCCTCCTTAAAGCCTGCGTCCCAGTCTGTGCGAATGATCCGGTCATCCAGACGAGTTCCATTTATGTACCGCATGGCATTTTCTGCATCTGCTCTTGAATAGTATCTTAAATGTAAGTATTAAGGAACACTATATAGCATTTCTCCAAACATTTTGGAAAGAAGCAACATCTAAATGAAGCTAAGTTAAGAAAAAGTACAGGGGCTGGCCCGGTGGCGTAGTGGTGAAGTTCACATGCTCAACTTTGGCGGCCTGGTTCATGGGTTTGAATCCTGAGTGCAGACCTATGCACCACTTATCAAGCCATGCTGTGGCAGGCATCCCACATACAAAGTAGAGGAAGATGGGCACAGACATTAGCTCAGGGCCAATCTTCCGCAGCAAAAAGAGGACGATTGGCAATGGATATTAGCTCAGGGCTAATCTTTCTCACCAAAAAAAAGAAAAAGTACAAAAACTAATCCAAGCAGATGGACTTCAAAGACAATAATCTGGCTTGCACAAGCCTGTTTGCTTTTGGTCCAGAAGCACTTAGAGAGTCAAATAGCACACTTATCTCTGGCTACATTGATCATGATTTCCTGGATAATCCTAGTAATAATGTGGTCCCACTGTCTCCATATTTTGGTGTGCAAAATATAAAATATGTTCAGTGCAGGTTTAGACCACAAACTGCACACTTCTTATCCAAACAACAGCATCCAAATTTGGAGCTGTATATTCAAGAAGAACCATAAATAAAAAGAGGTCACAGAGCATATGGAATTGCCATTGTATTTCATTAGAAGGAAAGAGTCCAATTATTACTTGGGTTAGTAGTTCCCAAACCTATTTAATCAGATCTAATAAATCTATCTTTGGAATGGTATTTTAAAGATTTATTTATTTATTTTTCCCCCCAAAGCCCCAGTAGATAGTTGTATGTCATAGCTGCACATCCTTCTAGTTGCTGTATGTGGGACACGGCCTCAGCATGGCCAGAGAAGCGGTGCGTCGGTGCGCACCCGGGATCTGAACCCGGGCCGCCAGCAGCGGAGCGCGCGCACTTAGCCGCTAAGCCACGGGGCCGGCCCCTAGGGATGGTATTTTAAAAAGAAATCTCTACAAGCAATTATGATTATTAGCTGGGTTTAAGACAGGCTGATCTAGATGTTTTTTTCCTTGTCTTCACACAGGTAGGGGAACCCTGCTGAAATTCCAGTGTCCAGCACCTACACAATGCCTAGCAAATAGTGGACATTCAGTAATTTTTTGTTGAATGAATAAAATGTATGCTAAAAGAGCAAACGGAGAAAAAAAGACTGGCAATGGCAGCCTCTCTTTCGGGTATTTGCCATTATGATTGCTGATCTCTGACCTACAAGGCAAATGCAAAAACACTCCAGTTCTCAAAGACTGATTATTATCTACAAGGTGGATTTTCTTTGCCTTTTGTGTTTTCATTGTTCTCCCTGCCCTGTGAACTATTTTATGATATTGCCACCAAAGGCAAAAGCAAAACCTGGGCATTCTGGTGCCTGGTGTCTGAAGGGAGAAGGGAAGAAGCTTGCAGAGCCCAGAAATCAGATACCAAAATGAAAAGCGGGGAATAGGTTCAAGCTGATAGAGTGAGCATATTTCTCTCCTTTCCTTCTCAAGACCCCTATTAAAACGATAGGAAACAAACATACACCTACAGAATAGAAGAGGCCATCAGCAGATGAGAGATTCAACAAAAGCTGATGGAAGAGTGCTAATGGGTGAAACAAAGTCACAGTGTGAAATATTCTTGAAGGGGCTTAAGAAAGGAGACAGCAAACCCAGAGGCTCTTAATTCACAGTTGAATAAGAAGTGAGGGTACAAATAGGATTTAATTAAAGGTCTCTATGTGGGAAGACGACCAGCTAGCAGGAAGGCATTTAATCCCAGGCAAATAAAAATAAAATGATATGGTTCTGAACGAACTATCTGGAGGAACTAGGGCAGTCTTTGATGTTAGGAGGCTAAAATAAAATCCCTTTTCATTCTGGCATTTGAGAAACCCACATATCCCAAAGGCAAGGCAGCAACTTGAGAGAGAAGCTCTGCTTGAGTGCACAAACTCAGCCTTCTTTTCCTTAATACGATTGGAAACCCAGGGATCACCAGACATTTAAGGAAAATTTACAGCATAAATACAACCAAAAGAAACAGATAATTCAGAGCACAGAAAAAAAATTCAAAAGACATGTTAGATCAGGTCTGGGAAATTTCTCAGAATATAAAACAAAATGACCAAAAAAGAAAATATTAGCTAAAAAAAAAAAACCAAAATACCAAAGGATAAATCCAGAAGGTCCAATATTTATAGAGTTTCCAGGGAGACAATAAACGATCATACGTAAATACCTATAAAATCAAGCTACAGGGGCCGGCCCCGCAGCGTAGCGGTTAAGTACACGTGCTCTGCTGCTGGCGGCCCGGGGTTCAGATCCTGCGCGCACACCGACGCACCGCTTGTCAGGCCATGCTGTGGCGGCGTCCCATATAAAGTGGAGGAAGATAGGCAAGATGTTAGCCCAGGGCCAGACTTCCTCAGCAAAAAGAGGAGGATTGGCATGGATGTTAGCTCAGGGCTGATCTTCCTCACAATAAATAAATAAATAAATAAAATCTAGCTATATACATCTACATAATGAAAAACTATACAGCCATCTTAAAAAGAGGTAGATCTACATGTGCTAACATGGAACAATCTAAGATAGGTGGGGAAAAAAACTAGTGCATGCAGTACACTACCACACATCCACAGGATTACTTCTGGAAAGACACCCAAGAGACTGGTAACTGATTGTCTCTGGGCTTAGAATGGTACAGGGATATTATTTTCACTACACCCTTTGGATTTTTTAATCACCATAAGCATACATTCTCGAAAGATTGTTTTTCTTGAAGCATCTACTATAAACAAAGCATGGATTTCAGAACAGAATGTAAATGTTACCAGCTTTCACAATGTAAGAGTGTAGACACACTGGACAGAAGGTAGGAGGTAGATGAAGGAAGGAGAAGTAGAGATAAGTGTAGGGGTGCTAATTAGTGAATATCCTCACTCATTTTTTAAACAGGTGACCAGCCACTCGTGGCCCCACCCTCATCCAAGAGCTTCATCAAACACCTAGGAAGGATACTCCACAAAGCAGAATCCACATGCTGTTTTTTTCATTTTATCCAGGCCCATAATGATTTTCTTTATGTCACCACTTTTGCTGAAGAGTTCATAGATTTGTTCTTCAGTTGTGTAAAAGGAAAGATTTCCAACATACAATGTACAGCTTTTCTTCAGTAATTTTTCCTGTTCTTCATTGTCACCCTAGAATTTCAAATAGAGAAGTTAAGCAACACAATCTAAAAACAGCCTTGTTTAAACAGTATTCCTAAGTATGAGAAAAAACTTTCATTAACTCTGATTTGGGAATCAGCTTCTCTCATCATCCCAATCCACCACAAATCCCTTGCCAAAAAAAAAAAGAGTCCATGAAGCACTATGCAGGGTCCAGACTGCTTTTAGTAGAGGGCCATGGCTTGTAAGTTACATTGCATGTGGCCCTCCTCCTCCTGCACTATACTGCCACACAAATGGCATGCCTTTTCCCTGTACACCCCATATCCTCAGCACTGGCTCCTTCTCTAATGGCCCAAATTTAATTTCTGGACCTTGAACCAATATATTAGAGGGGACCCTTTTATCCTTCATGATGAAAAATAAATGGATTTTCAGAGATAGGGAACTTCCTTATAATACTTCCATAGAGAATGTTCAAAGCAACAACTGCTTAGATGGTTTTACATGCTCGTATATTTTTCTCTGAGTTTAGAAGAAAATGTAGGGATCACTAAAAATAAGATATCTCACTTTCTTGATGGGCTTCCTAATTTGGAAGACAAGATGAAGCGAGAGGAATACAACTGGACTTCAGCCAACACACCTGACAATCCCTGGGGACAAGATGGCTAATCATGGGCTAGACGTGGTATTTTAGATGGCTTCACAGAAACCTGTGTGGCCGTCCTCCGACTTTCTCTTCTCACCTCCTCCACACTGGGGAGGACGAATTAAATTAAATAGAAGACTAAAGAGAAGACCTACCAAGTGACCTGCTCGCAGGCCCCTCTGACCCAGGTTACGGCTCTAACATCAACCATACAGTGGTATTCCAGCTTGGAAAGTAGCTCAGTAGATCCATACTCAGGCCCGCAGAGCATTTCCCAAGAGGCCTCCCTTCTTCATGTACCACACCATACATAATGCTGATCCAGCTTCCTTCACTCAGAGACTAAGACTGCATTATTCGTGTCTGAATGCTTTGCAGCACAGTGCTGAGTAACAGGTCTCCTGATCACATTCAGTGGTAGAACAGAGAAACCATCTGAACTCACATCCATCAAAAGGAAAATGGAATAAATTATGGTACATCAATAAATATAAAACTATGCAGTCCCCAAAAAAATCTAACATCCACATGCAGTGATATGGAACATCTCCGAGAGAGAGCAAAGTGAAAAAAGAAGGTACAGAACGTGAAAGGTACGCTGCAAGTTATATAAAAGTATGAATATACACAGATATACACAAGAAACAGTTAATTATGTCTGCCTCTAGGGAGAATCAAGGAACTGCAGGTCAGGGATTTCCATGTATGAGGGCTCATTTAATTCTCAGAACTGAATGAGGTATGTCCTAATTTATTATCCCCGTTTTACACCTGAGGAAAGACTATTAAGTAACTTGTCCAAGGTCACACAGCTACTCAGTAGTTGTAGCTGGAATCCAAACCCTGTCTTATCCCCAATCTCATACTCCCTAAAAAGTTCACAGGACAAGAGTCATTCTACATTAAAATAGGCTTTCAGAACTTTGGAATGAGACATTAAAGTGATTCACTTTATATTACTGCTGTTACTGATTTGTTAAAATTATGGTCAGGAGGCATTTATTTTTCTTTCTAGTTTTCTCCCACTTGTAAGTAATGTCCAAACAAATACCCTATGGCTTAAGACAACTGTGGTGTAAGTACTTAACGTGTGATGTTAATGTGGATTCCATTCAGGGAACACTAGAAATTCTGCATCACAGTATCTTTCTACTAAATAAAGCTATAGGCTTTAGACTTGCAGAGATGAATAACAGAAAAAGTCGTTTTTCTGTTTAATCTGTTAATTAAAACTGTTCACAGTTTTAATCTTGCAGGATGCTTGAAATTCAAGATGGTTATGATGTGGAACTTTCTAAAGTAATGAGAACTGTGAAAGTAATAGAAGTGAAAATCATGCCCGGCATAGAGTAAGCATTTAAAAACTGTTGACTGAGTGAATGAATTTAAGATCTTCCTCAATTTCGCCTCAAACAAAATTTCCTTTTCCCTACCCTACTAACACATTTTACATTCTCCATGCCTACCCTCTTTTATATGTGGCCCTCCTTTCCCAGTCATAAGGGTTCTCCCTTCTGCTTCCTCACAGCCCCTCCCTTTCCACTCATCATTTCTGCTCTAGATTAAGGTTACTTACCTCTATTTACCATCCCTACTAGAGGATTATGAACTCTAAGTGTGCCGAAACTGTCTTCCCTCTCCCTTTAAAGTTTAGCAGAAGGCTTCAGCAACAACACTCAATAAAAGTTTACTGAATAACCAGTGGTTCATGTGTCGTCCACCCCACCCCCGCCTTTGCTGATACTGAAGAACGTACCCCGAATATCTGCAGCCTTCCCTTTTCCACATAATCTACTATGACATAGGAGAAACTGAAATTTCCCCCTTCTGAAACCCAGCAGTTCTCTGATCCTGATATCCAGACACTTAATGTGCCTAGCTTGGCTGGTCCACCTCCCCACTCCAAGGGCTTCCCTAAGGGTTGAGACAGGACTCAACTTTGTGTCTCCCATCCACCGCGTAGAACTGTGTAGGACCGTTCTACCAGACCAAGGACAGGACTCGAAGCGCCAAGGGGCAGTTTGGCTAATTTAACTTAAAATTTAAAAAGGCAATAAAAAGTCCCACTATCTGGGTCAGGAAGGCGCCTCCACATACTCCAGGCGTCAAAGGACACCTCTTCCCCTCATCGCCAAGTCAGCTTCCCGAGACACAGCCCGTGAAAACGTGAGCCACCACTACTGCCGCTCAAACCGCTCTGCAGTGGCCCGCTAACAGGCAGCGGCTGCAAGGGAATGGGAAAGCGAGCCTCAAACTCCCTTTCTATGAGAGATGGGGCTTCAGTGACATCCAAACGCCCTTTCAGCATCCATTCCCCAGGAGGCACCGGGGCCTCTCTTCGCGTCCCGGGAAACTGGAGAACGGGAGACGACACAATGAGACAAGAGCAAACCGATTCTCGGCGTCCCGGCCTAGCGCCTTCCCTTCTCGCGGCCCGGCCTCCCTCACCCGGAAGTGCTGGTCCCGGTACTGGCTCAGCTCCACGTACGAGTCGCTGCGCAGCGCCTTCAGGAGGCCGCCGGACATAGTGCAGACAGCTGGTCGGCGACGCCGCCACTCCGGGAACAACGAGGCCGCCGCGGCCCAGGCGGAAGCGGAAACGCGCGGGGGCCGTTGCAGAAAGTCGGAATCGTGCGGCCCAATCCAAGCGTGGCAGTGTCGTCACCCAGCGGCGCGGGCGCAGACGTGGTGCGTTGTTGGGCAGCGCCGAGCAGAAGCAAGAGCGGCGTGCTTCGGGTTCCGGGTGGTCCGAGGATGGTTCTTCGGCGGCTGCTGGGTGCCCTGCTGCACAGCCAGCAGCTGGTGGAGCGTCTGTCCGAGTCGCGGCCCATCCGGCGCGCGGCGCAGCTCACGGCCTTCGCACTGCTGCAGGCCCAGCTGCGCGGCCAGGACGCGGCCCGGCGCCTGCGACGCCTCGCGGCTGGGCCCGCGGGCTCCCTGGGCCGCCGGGCTGCCCGCTTCAAAGACACCTTCACTCAGGAGCTACGCCGCGGCCTCCGGGAACGCCCGGGGCCACCACCAGGTAGCCGGCGGGGCCCGGGCGCAAACCCCTGAACCCGGGCTGGGCTGGGCCGGGCCGAGGTCGCCTGCTTTCCCTTCTGGGCTCGACACAGGCCTCGGCGCTAAGGAGTCACCCCGGGCACAGCGCGCGGCTTCGAATCCTGACTCAGATCGTCGGCCTGCCGAGGTCCCACTGGCCAGAGCCGGGTGAAGCCCTGTGATCCGACAGGGCACCGTGTGTGAAGGAAGCCCCCGAAGCCTGAGAGAAAGAAAGATAGGCTGGGCCTGGATACATCACGGACAGGGAGCCACGGACCAAACCTCAGCCGGAAAGACAGTCTGCCCTCCGCGAATGGGACTAAAACTCGTGGTCTATGATGCTGCCTCTGCACTGATGTGCTAGCAGGGCGTGACTTCCAAGGGAGATCATGGATGGGAAGACAGCCGTGCAGCTGCCAAAATCCTCTGATTAAATGTGTGAGCTGGGTAATGGGTATGAGCGTGGTACTTCTCCGGCAAGATGGGTTAGGATTCCTGGGGACTGTAGGCACATGGTAATACTAGTGAACACGTATTGGGTGCTTACTCAGTGCTGGCACCAGCTAATGCACTCTGTGTGGGTTAGCTCACTTAACTCTTTACAGCCAGTTTCACATCAGGAAGTGTAGGCTGCTCCTTAAGTTGCCAGTGGCCTTACAGAGTGGGATGTGAATACAGGCGTTTGACTCCAGTGCCTAAATCCTTAGTCAGGGCTCCCTGCCACATTTACCCGGACCTTCGTTGCCCGCCTCCCACCATCATCACCATTGGGTGTTAGGACTCCTGCCTACGTGGAACAAGCTGCCTGGATTCCTGTTCCCCATTTTAGAGGGTCTGGGATACAATCTAAAGACTATGGTCCAGCGAATGGACCCATGGTTAGGAAATTCATTGTACACAGAAATGGCGTCATTTGAGGCTTTTGACTGCATATCTGATCACCTCTAATTAGGCTACACAGTTAATCATGTGATCTAGAAAGCTCGAAACCACAGGAGAAGCTTTTAGGCTGGTAACCAAAGACAATTTATACTCTGGCTTTTCTGATAGCCACAGAGAGAGAGTTAGATAGAGCCATAGACCTACGCTGGAGATGGAGAAGCTAAAGTAGCTGATCCTCCAGTTTCCTAATGGTCAGACTTTTGACTTCACATCCCACTCTCCAGTCTTCCTATCAGAGGTGCTGCTATTTAATCCTCTCTGAAGCCAGAGGTCCCAGTCTCCTAATTACCAAAGTCCTGATTTGGCATGTGTCCTATCTTCCTGTCCTCCCATTAGAAGACAAATCCTCTCCCAGACCAGAGGCAATTCACTGGCTTCTCCTCTGAGCCTGGCAGTGAGGAGCCTGAGGAGTTTGTTCATTCTGCCTTGGTCTCAATCCCACTCATTACTCTGGATATCAGAGGAGCAGAATATTAGCAGTCCCCAGCCCAACCCCTTACCCTCAACATAAATAAGCACACTCACTGTTAGGTCTTTTTCCAGACCAGCAGAGTCAGAAAGGGAAGCAGTACAGGAAGCAATGCAGCTTCCAGATAAACTGGCCATTTGGTAAGAAAGGAAGGAAAGCAAGCGAAGGGAGCAGTTTATTTTTTGTCAAAGGAGTGTATAAGAACTGCGTTCCCTCCATTTTTGTAGAAGGAGTCTGGGAGGAGAGAGAGAACTGGGTCTTTTCTGTGCAGCTGGAGGTGATTTACATGCCTACCCCCTTCGTTGGAGAAGCCTCCAGTGTTTGTAGTCAGTGGCTTGCCATCCCACCGGTTACCCTATGACTCAAGAAACAGACCAAACTCTTCCCACCACCCCCAGTAGCAGCGATTTCCCAGCATGCCTTTTAAGCTCTTCCAGAAAGGGAAGCAGGGAGGCAACTCACCCTGCTATACTGCAGGGCAATTCCGACTCACCCCTGATGCCACACAGATTTAGATACCAACGGTTTATGGACAAATTCATTTGAACTCGGACCACCACAATCCACGTGGACTGCTACACCAGTGGTTCCTCCAGGGAATTCTGAGGTTGTGGACCCAATTGAGGGAAGGAAGAGGCAAAAGTCCCAAGAAGCGCAGAGGAGTTTGGGACCCCCCCTAGAGTCTGGGATGTCTCCAAGGTGGCACTTGGTTTTTATCTGTTGGGCAGGAAAGCCATCTTTGGCAGCATAGTAAACAAATACATGCTTATCGTGTGCCAGAGATGATGCTAAGCAGTAGGGGTAAGAAGACCAATCAGAGCTTCATAGCAGAAATAGACCACAAGAACAGTGAATTGTCATGAAAGGGTACTGTAGAGTTTAACGTAGGGAAACGTCTGGGAGTGTGCTAGAGGCAGCCTATACAGAGCAGATCCTTGGCATCTCCTCCCATCTCAGAGCCATGCTGGGAGTATTTATACCCAGAAATTGGCAAATGCTACAAATGGGGACTTTTTTGCACCAGAGAACAGGTTGCTAAACATTTACCAGCTTACCACTTCTTTCCTCTTCCTCCAGGTTGGAGTCATGAGGAAAGTGTGGCACTAAGACCCTAGCAGCAGCCACAGAGCAGCATGCCGGGGTAAGGGTGTGGCTTTAAGATGACCCAAGGCTTTAGCGGGCAGAATGCAGAGCTAGAGAAGTGCTCAGGTTTGGTCATTCGTACAGGTTTGGTCTCCTGCTCTGCGCTGACCTCCAGCTCACTGACCCCTGTGGCCTGGGTGTTCTCATGAAATGGTAGCGGTTCTCATGAATGGTAGCCACAGCTCCTCACGTTCCCAGTGGACTGGGTAGGGGTACCGTATGTTGGGAGCAACATGCCCAGGGGTGTGATGGCTTCCACCAGAGCAGCAGGTGTTGGTTTGGCATGGGGTTTGCTCTCCATCCTGTGAAGAGAGGTTTCAGACAGGAGCTTTGAACTTGCAAAGTGAACAGACCACATTTAAGAAGGGCCTCTGGGAGCGCCAGGTTGTCCTCAAGTGCCGCCAGATACTGACTGAGCATCGTGTGTTCTCCATTCCTAGTGGGGCAGGCTGAGGAGGGAGAACATCTGAGCTCCCTCATCTGGGACGATGATCTTTAAAGGGTGAGATGCAGAAATGTCCCACCACCTCTCTCAGGGACAGGAGTAGAAGAGAGTGGGGAGAAAAGTTCCAGAATTACTTGTTTTGGTAATTACGGAACACTGAGACAGCAGGCACCAACATGCCATTAAGTACAACAGTACACCTGCTTCTCTGCTTAGAGACCTCTGGGAGACACATAGCTGTCTAGCCAGGGGACATGTGCTACAGACCCAGGAGTGACAGTGTTAGCTGGCAGACACTGCAGAGATCCTCTGATCCATTGTACAGATTGGGAAACTGAGGCTGGGTGAAGGAAAGGGGCTTTCTTAAGATCACACAGCCAGTAAGTGGCAGACCAGGGACTAGAACTCAGGTCCCCTGAATCTGAGCTACCTGCTTTCTCAACATCACCACACTGCCTCCTTCCAGGGATCTAGGAAGCCAAAGGGTTGTCAAGACAGCAAGCGGTAAGGCATCCTAGAAGGTTTGGGAGAGACCATTCGGGAATGTCATTAGCAGATCATTGTCTCTTTCACAACCAGGTGCTATTATATATTTAAAACATCACAGTGGCTGGAAGGAATATGACAGAAACAGACATTAGGCGCCATTGGTTACACCAGGTTCTTTGGGGACCTTGGGATCAGGACCATGACTGGTCAAATCTTTGGTCTTTGAGGGAAGAAGCATGCCAGCTCACCCAGAAGGCAGAGCAGCCGAAGACTGCCCAGGAGAGGCAGAGATGGGGATTCTGGAAGGGAAAGGAGAGGAAGAGAATGAGGGCTCTGTCCCAGCCCAGCTACCCACGTAGAAGGTGGAGCGGCACCTTCACCTATGGCTGAATCTTGGGCAGTGGCTTTTCTGTCATATTGTCAGGCTTCTCCCCCAGCTCCAAGATGTGAAGGCTGAGATGGTCCCTCCAAGCCCCACTCAGCAGGGAGGACAGGGCTGGGGGGTCCTCCAGGGTCAAGTGGGGAAACAGGAGTGTCTCACTCTTGAGGGGGAAGCTGCACTTCTCCACGGCAGGCCTGGTGGTGCCAGGGGTCACCACAAAAAGGCGGCAGAGCCATGGCCCACCAGCCACCTGGCAGGCTGGTTGTCTGGTGAAGTTGTCCAGCGCTTGGCACAGGACCCGGTCCTTAGTCCCACCCATGTCCACCACCTCCACGGGTGACCCCAGGCCTGGGAGGTATAGGAGGTGCCGGGGGGGCATGTAGGTGTGGGTGAAGAGGAGTGTGTAGTGGGTGGGTATGCTTGGGAGCACAGGCGCGTGGACCACCCGCTCCAGGTGCTCCAGGCCAGGCACTAGGCCCCCCTGGTGCAGGCAGCCGAAGAAGAGGGCCCCCAGGGCATTGAAGAGGACCAGGGTGTTTTTGCAGGGCCCAGGTTGGGTCTGTGAACTACAAAGCAGGACTAGGGGGACAAGAAGGGGGATCAGAAACCGAGCCTCCTGGTGGCTAAAGGCAGACAGCAGGGCTAGGGGCATGAAGTAGAGGAGCAGGAGGGGAGACCTGGGGCTGGAAAGCAGGCTCCGGGCGTCCAGCGCCCTCAGGAAGCCCCTTTGTGCAAAGGCCTGGGGGAAGGCTTGCAGCTCTTGCCACGCAGCACGCAGGGCCCAGGCATGCAGCACGCCGAAGAGCAGGAAGCCGTTGACCACCAGGTGAGTGAGCCGCATGTGTGTGCCGTGCCTCGCCAGGTTTTGAGGATCCAGGTTGTAGAGCAAGAAGTTGGCAGGTGTGAGGACAAGGGTACTAGATCTAGATGGACTGGAGAAGTACCAGCTGTCCACGGCCACAAACACTGCTGCTGTGAGGGCCGCCCCTGGGAGCAGCACCAGGGCTTCCTGGGTCAGTGACTTGAAGCCAGGGTTTGTGGCTCCACAAATGCCCCAGAGGAAGAGGGGGACCAGAGCGAAGGCCAGAAAGGTGGGCCGGTTGAAGAAGCCAGCAGCCACGATGCCTCCAAGGAGCCAGCTGTGCCACCACGGGCCTAGAGCAGGCTTCTTGGGTGTGGGGCTCCAAGCCACACGGTGGGATACCAGCACCAGCAGCCACGCAAAGAGCAGTCCCTCGATGGCGTTGGAGAAGGTCCTTGTGTAGAAGACCAGGGTAACGTAGGAACCAGACAGCAGGACCAGGGCGTTCCAGCGCTCTGCCCCCCACAGAGGGGACAAGTGGTACACAGCCGCGTCCAGGGCAAAGGAGAGGGCAGTGAGGAGGAGTCGGGGCCCCACCAGCAGCATGTAGCCACTCACTGGGCCAGGCCATGGCCCCCACTCTTCCCAGAGCTTGAGCATCCAGAAGGCAGAGCCCGAGGTCAGCAGGGGGAAGACCACCGTGCGGCAGGAGCTGTTGGGGTGGAACTCCCAGGGCCGTGCAGCCTCTATGCCCAGGATGTCCTCTGCAGAGAGAAAAGCAGAGGGGAGCTAGTGCCAAGCTCAGAGAATATGGAGACCAAATTCTAGGATCGCCCCCAGGATGTTCCAGCCCTGTGTAATCCCTGAGACTGTGAAGATGAAGGATTTCACTCCGTGATTAGGTTATGTTGCAGGGGACAGCTGACTGGAAGACAGGGAGATACCCTGGGGGGGCCTGACATAATCACAAGAGCCCTTTAAAAGCAGAGCGTTTTCTTCAGCTGGTGGCAGAAGAGGACGTCAGAGATTCAAACCGTGAGAAGGATTTGATGCACCATTGCTGGCTTAAAGACGGAGGGGGCCATTGGCAAGGCATGTGGGTGGCCTCTGGGAGCTGAGAGCAGCCACTGGCTGACAGCCAGCAAGGAAACAGGGACTTTAGTTCCATAGCCGCAATAAACAATTCGTTCAAGAAGAAGAATGAGCTGGGAAGCAGATTTTTCCCCAGGGCTTCCAGATAAGAACTCTGCCCTGCCCATACCTTGTTTTCAGCCCTGTGATGCCCTGAGCAGAGGGTCCGTGCTGGACTTCTGACTTACAGAACTCTGGACTAGCAGTTTTAAGCTGCCAGGTTTGTGATGATTGTCATGTAGCAATAGAAATGAAGAGAGGGGAGCTCGGCCCTTCTGAGGCCCGCCCGTGAAGGGGGCGGGAGGAACCACCTGGAAAGTGAGGCGACAATGTGCCCTGGACAGGGTGTATGGGAAGGGGCTGGGGGAGGCTCCATTCCTCTCCTCGCAGTTCTAAAGTCTCCAAAGTCAGGATCGAAACCCCAGCTCTGTGATTATGATTGTATCCAGGAAGGCAGTGTGAGAATAGGGGAAAGGAATAAGCAATTGGGGTTGTGGTCAAAAGTAACTTTAGGGGCCGGCCCGGTGGCGCAAGCGGTTAAGTGCGCGCGCTCCGCTGCGGCGGCCCGGGGTTCGCTGGTTCGGATCCCGGGCGCGCACCGACGCACCGCTTGGCAAGCCATGCTGTGGCGGCGTCCCATATAAAGTGGAGGAAGATGGGCACAGATGTTAGCCCAGGGCCGTCTTCCTCAGCAAAAAAAGAGGAGGATTGGCAGATGTTAGCACAGGGCTGATCTCCTCATAAAAAAAAAAAAAAAAAAGTAACTTTAGTTTTGCCCGTGATACTCAAATTTTTTTATAAGAATGTATTCGAGCAGGACTTATGTAATTAAAAAAATACTTGCTGCCTGGGGCTGGTCTGTGACCCTGTGCCCCAGTGTACCAGAGCTTTGAGGGGTGGGGGGAGGAAAACAAACTCTTAATTTCTGCATCTCAGCTCCAGGCCCCACAACATCTCATGCTTGATAACCTTGCTGGTTTTTTAGGGCTCTTTGCTTCTGCTCCTAATCCTCCAGCCTTTTGGACGTTTTCTCTCTCTATGTCAGAAGGTGAAAGAGAAACAGAAAATCTAGGATCAGATCAAGCTGGCTGCTGTTCACTGGTTCAGGTTAAAAAAAAAGTGTGGGAAATAAGACTGGACCTTTCAACTTAAAAAAAAAAAAAAACAACAACAAATCAGGGCCAGCCCGGTGGCGCAAGTGATTAAGTGCGCGCACTCCACTGTGGCGGCCCGGGGCTCACCGGTTCGGATCCCTGGGGCTCACCAATGCACTGCTTGTTGAGCCATGCTGTGGTGGCATCCCATGTAAAGTAGAGGAAGATGGGCACGGAGGTTAGCACAGGGCCAGTCTTCCTCAGAAAAAAAGAGGAGGATTGGCATCAGATGTTAGCTCAGGGCTGATCTTCCTCACAAAAATAAATAAATAAGTAAAAGAAGATTTTAAAAAAAAATCACCTGTTGAGCTCTGTGCAGAGATAGCTGGATGTCTCAATATCCATTCCCTCCTTCTTAGTCTCTTTAGCTGGGCATTTGGTCAGATATAAAGACTATATTTTTTCAGCTTCCTTTGCAGCTAGGTGTGGTCATGTGATACATCTGACCAATGGGATAGAAATGGGCAAAAAGTATGTGACTTTCAAAATATGCCCTTAAAGAGAGCAGGCATGCCCATTTCTTCTCCAGTGGCTGAAAAGACTTGGTTTTAGACTTGAAGGCTGGAGCTCAAGCAGCCATCTTGAACCATGAGGAGGAAGCCATGTGCCCACAGCCTCTGAAACACCTCAAGATCTTTGGCAACCATCCTCATGATGTGTCCTACACCACTTAGCACGTAAGTTCTAACAAGTGAGCATTCCAGGTCTGGGTTCTCTCAGCCTTTACATGAACCTATAGAAGAAAAGTTTCATTATTTCAGACCACAGCCCTGCGTAAGCTTCCCTAACCACTGGGGAAGCCCAGCTCTAAAACTCTGCCACTGAGAAGCCCAAAACAGCTTTCATTCTGAATGACCTGTACTGTTGGTCCAAGCAGGAAAACATCCAAGAGACTGGCATTTCATTAGTATCAGCTAGAAGGTCAGTGTCACCACTCAGGAAGGAGATGTGAAGTCCCCACTCCCAGGTTCTTATTCCAGACAGGCTCGTGGATTTACTGCTCCTCTGCACAGACATTTTTCTCCCTCCCCACTAAATATCCAACCAGCTCCTCAACCAGACTTTGCTGCAACTTATCTTACCCGTACACGGAGAGCTTTACCTGCCATGACCTCAGGTGACTGGAAGAACTCATCTGGGTGCACATAGCCTGTCTGTGGAAGAAGACACCATCCCAGGCGGAGCAGGCTGAGGCTGCCCCACAGCACCCGGGCTGCCATCTTCATATCAAATTGCCACCAAGACACTGGGCCAAGATGTCAGAATGGCTTCTCAGCTGCTACGGCTGCTATTCTGGTGCCACAGATCTGCATCTGCCGAGGATAACATTTGTTAGTTATTATAATGTAAATTATAATATGTTCAGTTGTCTGAACAAACTCAAAATGGGTCTACATACAATAAAAATGTTAATAATAATAGCTGCTACTTACTAAGTGCCAGTAACTTTACATGCGTATCTCATTTAATCCTTTCCACAGTCTGGGACAGTGGGTCTTATGATCTCCATTTTACAGAGGGGGAAACTGAGGCCTCTGTGGAGTAACCTGGTTATTTGCTAACCATATTTGCTAAGTGTCTGAATATGACATTTGCAAGTAGGATTATGGTGCCCTCCGAATCTGGGTCTCACAGCCGCATCCTGTTCATCAGCTCCTATCCACAGGCAAGCATGGCAGCCTGTCTCCTGCATGTCCAAAAATTTGGGAACCTCAATGAATTCTATCCATTTCGCCGCAAAAATGAACAACATTCGACCCCAATGTCGCCACTCACTCCCTCCAACTTTCTCGCCGCACACCCTGGAACCTACCTTTTGGAAGGTGATGGAAACTTACCACTATGGTCAGAATATTTGTGTGTCCCCCTCCCCCACATTCATATGTTGAAATCCTAATGCCTGATGGGGTGGTATCAGGAGGTGGGGCGTTTGGGAGGTGCTTAGGTCATGAAGGTGAAGCCCTCATGAATGGGATTAGTGTTCTTCTATGCGACCCCACAGAGCTTCCTCGCCCCTTCCACCACGTGGGGACACAGCGAGAAGGCGCTGGCTATCAACCAGGAAGGGGGCCCTCACTGCACCATGCTGGCCTCTTGATCTTAGACTTCCCAGCCTCTAGATCTGTGAGAAATAAATTCTGTTGTTGATAAGCCACCCAGTCTGTGATATTTTGTTACAGCAGCCCTAATGGACTAAGACACTTATGTAATTCCTCTTGATGGGGATTCTCACTCCCTCGATTCAGAGATCAGCGGGAGTCTGAGCCCACTGCATGATGGACCTATATATCAGCGCCTACGTATCATCTCTGGTGAACAGAAAAACTAGTCTGACAACATGTTTGTCATTCCTCCAGAGATACATATGGTAACTGTTTCCTGACTTTGATATTTCACAGCCTGACCTAAACAGCTATTGCTCTCAGGTATGAGATCATGTCATAACAGAGGAGACCAGATGAAGTGGAGCAACAGAACAGGAATCTGGCAGCTGTTGACAAGGAGCGTCTTGATACTCACTACAACCTCATAGAGCTTGAAAGCTAAGTTTTGCAGCCTCTGCTCGAACTTTCCAACTGAATTGCACAGACTGTTTTTCCAGAGCCAGTGAATATCCTGACTTTTAGAGTTTTCAGATGGAAGATGAGGCCAAACGTCTTAGTGCTGGGATGCAAAGGTGGGATCAGAATATTTTTCCTCATCAACAGCCCAAATGACACTGCAGGATAAGTGGGGGTGGGGTTCAGGGGGGTGGAGATAGGGGTGGGGGGAAAGCACAGACTTTGGGGTCCTGCAGGCCTGGTTCAAATCTCGACTGTACCATTATTAGCTGTGTCACCTCAGGCAAGCTGCTTATATCCCTAAACCTCGGGCTCCTCATCAGGAAAGTCAGGCAATAATATCAACCTCAAGGAGTTGAGGGAGATTTAAAAAGCTGATGCATGGGGGGCACTTAGTACACAGAGCTTGCATTTATAAGTGATCACTGTGAGGCTCCTATTACTAGTTTTAGTCGAGGCACAAATAATAAAATCCAGGCTGCTCCAGACACTCTAGGAGATTCTCAAAATCAGCACTTATACTGGCTACACAAATAAACAGGATTTGGTTTAGTCCAATTGCCTAGATACATTTATGCATGTGTTTGAAGTTTTTCTCTAAGTACAGAACTTTTACTCCATGATTAGAATAAAATACCAAATCCATTACACTTGATGAATAAATGAAAAGCAATATGATATATTGGAGTAGATGAGGAAGCCATTTGGTTTAAAACTAATTCAGCCTGACCTTTTCTTTCCAGAGGGGGTTGATGTGGCCTATCGAGCATGCATTGTTCATCTGCTTTAAACATTTACAGTGTCCCAAAGCCAAGAATGATGCCCTTAAAGATAGTGACGTTGCCCCCCTCCCCATATCAGCATTTCTTCAAGGATAAGCATTTCTTCCCTGAAACTAAGGATTAATTACCGACCTGTTGTGTTCACCTCGTGACCACTGACCTGCTGTGCCAGCAAAGCATCTTGTGACTGTAGTAAAAGAGATATTCCTGTCCTATGTGATGTATGTTTTTTTTCCCAAGATGGTGTATAATCACTCTGTACACTCCTCTTCTTTGGAGTGCATCCTTCCTTGGAGAAGGAAGCTCCCGGGGTACTGTCCTCAAAGCTGGCTCATAGAGTAAACTCACCCCAATTTTGATTTATAGATTGATTATGGATTATTTGCATTGACACACTGATTGGGAACACAGAAACTCAGGCTTCCCTGCACTGATGTGAGTAGTTACAGAATAAGCCTGGGTCCTGAGGCTGCGCTGTTTTCCCTCTGCAGCAACAGAAGAGATTCAGCAAGGGGACATCTGCTTAGTGCCCACCACCTAGTCCCCTTTTCCCAGGTGACAGTACTCATGTTTCCCACTGAGAATGAAGCCAGGCACCTGAGGGTTACTGTAAATATTCTGTATTATACTGTAAATATACTGTAAATAAGATTACCTTTCAACATTGTTATGAAAAGAAGTTAATCTTGTCAATTTGCTGTTTGTTGTTTAACCTGAGGGGTAAAGAGTCATAAGGATTTAAGAGCTTGTTTTACAGAAGAAAGAGAATGCCTTCAAGAATCACCAGATAACTAGCCCCCAGCTGCCCTTGATGCCCAGAAGTCAGATTGCCTAGGGGCTTATCGGGAGTGAAAGAAACACGGATTACCCCTTTGTTTCCCCAAAACTCCTTCTGCCACACCCCTTAGCTCTATAAAACCCCCTGCTTTCTTCTCTTGTGAAGGCAGATTTGAGAGAACCTATGCTCCCACCTTCTTGTTTTGGCCAATTTGAATAAACCTTGCTCCATCTCCAAGCACTGATGTCTCAGTGATTGGCTTACTGCACATCAAGCACATGAACTTGAGATCAAGAGGTTTGGTATCAACTTTGTTGAGCCAGGCAGGAGTCTTGTGCCAGGGGCTGGATGGCCCTGGTGAGGGTTCAAGAGGTTGGTGGTCTCCAGCAGCTGCCCGGGCGTCTTTACCTGGAGGACTTCTCCTGCCTCTCCCCGCTTCATGCCAGGGTCAGCCACCATCAGCACAATGCTCGCTTGGAGTGGAAAAATGCATTGCACCTCAGTCTACTTTTTGTCCTTGTGTGGATGCATTTGTCTTGTATCTGAGTATTTTCAGATTTTGTTTTTGATGGTTGAGTCACCACAACACACGAGGTTGTGAATTCCCTGTCTCTCCATTTGCATTTTCTGTGAGTGAAAGGAGGGACCATCGTTTGGGAGAGATCCAGGGGATTGTTGGACTTCACCTTCTGTTTTTGTCCTGCAGGAATTGGATTTTGTCTGTGTGGGGGTGCATTTGTCTTGTGAGTCAGCTATCGGGAACACTAATTCGATCCCCACCTGTAGCCCCCTGGGCTACAGTTTCCAAAATTGGTTGACTTTTAGCTATGAGCCCATGAAAAAGGAAAAAGATGATATTCTTTTATAACACCACATGGCCACAATATCTTTTATGGATCCTTAAATTGGAAGAACTTCTAAATTGGGAAAATTTTTAGAGAGCTCTCGTAATGACTAGTCTTAAGAACTTAATCAGATTTGGGGTCTCAGCTTCCTCTTATGGTCTTATAGATGTTAATGAAAGCTCCCCATGCACCCAGGGTAAATTGGTCTAGAGTTGAATTGAGTACTTGGAAAGAGGGCCTTTATTGAACACTTTATGCAGACTCCTTAAAGGTATGATACATTGTCCTGAAGTTTTAGAACATAAAAATCTTTTGATTCACTTCTTAAGTTAAAAATCTACCTGATATAAAGAAGCAATTGGAAAAATGTAGCTGAAAGGGCAGTTCAACCTCTCTTATCATTCAGACTATAATCCAGTTCTTTGGGGAAGTAGAAACAACTGTCTTTGTCTTGCAAATCCCTGCAGGGCCAGAGGTGTGGCTCTACAAAGTGGTTCAAAGTTCACTTGTCGTTTTGCCAATCCCAAAGCCTCCCCTGTTATGCCCCAGAAACTCCATCTTGGAGAAAACTTGAATGCCTTCTCTGTGCCTTTGTGATGTAGATTTTCTGCTCCCATCTTCTCTAGGACCTGAAAGCCAGTCTTTGAAATGCAAATATTTAACTTTTTCTACTGTCTCATGAAATCTTCATGGGTAATATAAACATAATTGTTGGGAGCAAATGACTTAGGTGTAAGTGAGATAAGAGTTTATAGATAAGCTTTTAGCAGTAATTATATTTTATGGCATGTATATTTAAAATAACTTCCAAAATCTCTTCGGTAACTTGAAACTTTGAAGTTTTGCTAGGTTAGACTAAATGATGGAGAATTCATTGAATATCGAGATCATCTCTAAATAAGATAAAATATTAGACATTAACTACTATATATGGGTTTATCCACTTTTGGCTTCTTATTACAGAGAAACTAAAAGATATTTGGGTCTATTGGTAAACATGTCTTGTATTTTATTAAAAAGATTGTACTACGAAGTAGCATATTTCTAGAAATTATAACAAGTATTTATAAATTTGCCAAGCCACAGACTGCTAATGTAAAAGACAGTTTATAATTTCTTATTTCTTAGTTTTAATAGGGGAAACATCTTTGTATTCAAGGAAAGTAAGATGTATGTTTTCAGTAAAGATGGTATAAGAAATAAAGATATTTTTGTTAAAAAACATTATAGAAGGTTTATGGAAGAAAAACTCTGAGAAAGAATTTTGTACATGGTTAAGTTGGCTAAGATTAAAATGAATTCAATTAAGAATTCAATCAAATGAATTCAATTAAATTAATGAATCAATTTTAATACCAAAAGCTGGT